GGAGCATGTATGTGTGTGGAGTGAAGTGTGTTACAAGGAAAGATTGGATCTGACCCATTAACTTTACAGGCCACTCATTGGGCACCAGTGCAGTAGGGGTCAGTAGGGAGATTTCACTGTAAATCTCTGCTACGATCACATTGATAGACTAGAGAGAGAGAGAGAGAGAGAGAGAGAGAGACAGAGAGAGACAGAGAGAGAGAGGGAGCAGAGAGAGAGAGAGAGAGAGAGAGAGAGAGAGAGAGACAGAGAGAGAGGAAGTACTAGAGAGGGAGAGGGAAAAGCACAGCTTGCAACACTGTTCCTGACTCTGTCCAAAGCCAAGATAAGTTTCAGTACGGATATCATCTCCTGCCAACCAGCCAGCTGGACTTGATTTTCTTCTGTTACTCATTTAATCGCTCTACATAAAAAAAAAGAGGGGGCTCTGACAACTTGGCTGTTTACTGAGCACATGACGAGAGTGATGAGAGTAAATTTGGACTGTTTTTTCAGCCAGGCCTCTCAATTTTGGCCTTGAGAGAAGCTGTTTTTAGATATGTGTGGCCTTTCTGGCAGTGTTAGGTCATGCACTACAATCTGAAAACATAACCTCAAAAAAACATAGCTGTGGGCGCTTATATGAGGACATTTTGTGCCTCAAGGAAAACACAAACATCAAATGTGTTGTGTTGAAGGAGGTGAAGCGAAAAGAAGGAAAAGTCACTAAACCAAACCTTGGTCTAAGACTTGGATCTTTCCTGCTCTCCTGATTCTGCCCTGCGGTGAAGCTGATTCCTGGCTTGGTCACACCTCAGATCCAACAACTTCTACCTAGCAAACCCCCTGCAGGACTGTGAGACCATTATCTGGCAGGACTTTTAACACCCCTCCACCACCACCACCACCAGCTTCCTCTTTCTTTTGACACCAAATCACAGTCTGCAACAAATCTTTCCTCTGTAGATTATTAATAATTTACCCCCTCCTCTTATCCTTCTCTTGGCTGAATAATTGCAACAGTTATTTATGTATCTGGTAATCCATTACCTGAGGAGCATCTGCTCTGATAACCCCATCACTGCAGAAGATGTACAGTGCATCTTCCTTCCTTTTTCTTAGCCCCAAATAGTCTTAATTCTTTCATGGTCACATTTAAACATTCAGTGGAGCTGCATCCCAAATAGCACACAATCCTACTAAAGAGCAGATTGCATTCAAAAATCAATCATGTATAACACAAGGACCCAGAAAGCACAATGTTACTGTATCAGCGAGCCTCATTTCATGCACCAGAATTCATTAGCATAGACTTGTGGCTCTAATGCACCCTGCTTTTTGCTTAGACAATCAGATATTGCACAGTGTAAAGCCAATCATAGTAATGGCTGCAGCCTGGGAATTCTGGACGCTCCAATCATCACCCTTGCTTCAGAGTGCCTTTTTTACAGACTTGACATTTGATATGTGATTGCAGCTTTCATTCAGTTTTGTTTTGATCATCAGAAACCACCTACACTGTTATAGCCTTGATTGTTTGTTGCCTGTGAGTGCTTGACTGCAGCTCCAGTGCTCTCTGAGGTGAAGCTCTGCCTGAGCTGTTACTCTTTGATCTCTGGTTTAGCTTTAGCAAGCATGAAACTTGTTTCCTCATAACTGACCACTCAACATTGGACAAAAATAAAATCTCTACTCACCAGGGCATAAATACCTCCAACCCTGTTAGACTTAATCATACATTAATTCTATGATCCTTCCCTCTCCGCTAATACAAAAGTCCTGGATTTGGTCCTTTCTTTTCATTCTGACCCCTCTACTATGCTCCTTTCACACATGCACAGCATTCTTGAAATGAATATAAGTACTGTAGACAATGTGTCTCCCCCTTCTCTCATTGGAGCAAAGAGATGCTGAAATATCCCTGTGGCTCTAATTGATCACACAGAGCAAAGTGGCAATGTCCCACCTCACCAGCTACCCAGAAAAACGCATTTCACTTAAAGGAAAAATTCCGGCGTAAAATTGATTTAGCCATAACACCGAGCTAGACCCCCCCTCGAGTGATAAATGTTGCCGACTGCTTGCTTCTCTAGTTATACCAACTTTAGTAACGACCGCACGATAGCAATACACAGCAGTCTAAGGAGCCATACACAGACCTCAACCAAAACGCCACTCTATAGCCACAAATAATGCTCAGAACAGCACCTAACTTCATCAACAGTATATAAAGTAGCACCAGCCATCAAACATCTTTTTAGCTTTGCCTAATTTCTTCAATAAAGAGACTAAACACAACTCACCTACTCTCTTCCAGCAGCCGCTTGTTTGTACGGAGACCTCAGAGGAGTCCATCACGACTTCAGTGGGGAGCCGCAGCTCAAGGAAGAACATTTATGATCATTTCTTCATGGAAATGCAATCAGACTGAAATGCTAAGGCAGAGGAACAACCGCGTCTGCAGTGCAAAGTGATAAACCTTAAAACACTATCACTGGGTGATTTTCACTTGACCAAACATGTTTACGTGATTTTCATTATGTTGCGTTTGTCTGAGTATCATGGCTCCCTGGGTAGCTTCAGCATTGCCCTTGACATCTTTGAAGGCATATTTGTTTCCCTGATCCAAAACCTGCTTTTTCCTACAGGCACGTGTTCGGGTGATTTTCACTCAGCAATAGTGATAGAGGGTTAAGTAGGTTTAGGTGGATTTGATAGCTGCATGTAGGTGAATAAGGTCAGTAGTAACAGTGGTCCTGGAATTTGCATGCTATCTTTATTTAGCGCAGTGGTTATGAATAACTATCACAAAGCAGTGATTTTCAAAGGGAATTTATATGGTCATATGATAAGGAATATTTTAGTCAGCTGGTCATTTTTACTCACTCAAAATATGGCAGATTTTGTTTCTGTCTCCTGCAGCTGTTATTGTGCCAGGGACCCTGAGTCTTCACCAGGGAAGACTTTTTCTTGGGTATAATATTTCGGGTAAAAATCACCTGGCCATAGTGATGGCGTTACTAATTTTAGCGATAGTGTTCTAGGGTAAATATGGGGATTATTACTTCAAGGAAATGATAAAGAAATGATCATAAATGTTCTTCCTTTAGCTGTGTCACCCCTCTGTGGTAATGGACTAACTTGAGGTCTCCATACAAACAAGCGGCTGCTGGAAGAGAGTAGGTGAGTTGTGTTTAGTCTCTTTGCTAAAGAAATCAGGCAAAGCTAAAAAGATGTTTGGTGGCTAGTGCTATGGCTGGGACCCAATATGTAATGTTGATGAAGTTAGGTGCTGTTCTGAGCATTATTTGTGGCTATAGAGTGGCTTTTTGGTCAAGGTTTGTGCTTGGTTCCTTAGACTGCTGTATATTGCTATCTGCGGTCGTAACTAAAGTTGGTATAACTAGAAAAGCAAGAGGTCAGCAACATTTATCTCTCGAGGGGCTGTCTAACTCGGTGTTACGGTGTGTTTGACCCTGACTTAATTTTACGCCGGAATATCACTTCAAGGTCAGCCCAGTCCACACCAGAGCCGATTCATGCGTTGGTTTGAAGTATAAACTATATAAAAACATGGACAATACAACAGCTAAATAGGATGAAGCAAGAAAATCAAAATGTTGTAATTATTTAGTAATGGAAAAGACAATGGAGGGAAAAAGAAATTAAAGGAAGTGTGACGTTGTGACCCAGAGCCGTGTTGATAATTCTGGGTCCCTGCGACCTTCTTTGGCAGAGTGGAGGAGGAATGGCGGGAAAAACTTAACAAACACTAACATGAGTGTCATTGAACTTCCTGTTTTCATGGGTGTCCACTGTAAATCAACACAGGAATCTGCTCTCTGTGGACTGAACTAACCGTAGAGATCTTAGCTTTCTTCATTATGCATTAATGCTGCATAATGAATTTCCTTTTGGGGACAAATTAAGGTCTCGGATTGAATTGTAATGACTGCTTCAAAATCCAGATGAGTGAGAAATTCAACCACGTTATCTCTGTGTGTTTTTGTGTGACTTTAAAACACCATTAGTATGACATGCTCAGACACACTGACTCACACAAACATACACAGGCCAGTTAGTGGGGCAGCAGAGCCGAGGGAGTAATTACAGTGTGGGACAGGTCACTGGGCCTGTGGTTCACCTCAACCCTGAACACTGGAGCTATTCTGGACCTCTGGGAAAATAACAAGGGCCACACTCAGAGGCCAACTTCAGTTACGAGGCTATGAACATTAATTACTCGCAGGGGCGACACAGGAGTGCAGATTAGACAGTAATTGGTGGGTTTGCCTGCTCCCATGAATCAACGAGAGCCTCTGCTGACCAGAGTATCAGTGACTGATTATAAGGATTGGGTTCTTTCACTCAGTAGTGCACAACAAATGAACTGCTGCAAATAAAAATGTGAGTTATTTGTTCAGCACACATGTCAAAGTAATTACGCACTTGGTAGGGTGTGTGAGGTTTATGGTCATATAATGGATATTATGCGGGGGAGGGGAGGAGGGGGTTGGGAGCATTCCAGCATATTGTGTTGCATACTTTCACATATCCAGTCCAGATGGGTTTGCTGCAATAGAAGTACCAACCAGGTGTAATTACATAAACTAATATATTTTAACATACAACAGTTTAAATGTCTTAACCTCTTAAAATGAGCCTCCTGTTTTTCGAGCAGCTGACATTATAAAAGTTTCATTTACTCAGTTACAAGAGGCTCATTGAGGTTTATGAATCTGCACCCCCGTATCCTCAGATGAACTTTCACTCACTGCCTTCTTCTGTGTTTGTGTAAATTTGCTTAACTGAAGCAGAGGTTTGGTAAAACTAGAAAAACCTCAAAACTTTTGGCAGACTGACTGAATCGGGGTTTTCCAGTGTTGCGTAACCTGTTATAAGTTACACTTTCCCAGAAGACGTTAATACTTCAATTGTTGCCACCCTATGTGCTACCCAAAGCAAACACGGAGTTTACAAAAAGACAACACAGCAATGTCCTAGTAAGTGTGCCAGCAGGAGCACATGCCTCCCACCTCCTAATGCGGAGTTTCCTCAGTTTAGTCAGATTTCACCCCTCTCCACGGGAGGAGGGCAGTACAAAAACTCACACAAGACTGAAAACTCAGCCAGTCTATGGATTAGTTGAAGAGATACTAGGGGATCTATTTCTGGTGCTTCTTTTTTCTTCCCCAGGACCACCCTGGAAAGCAGTAACTCGACAGCTATAATTCTTTTTTTCATCTGCATTGAATCTGAAGCGTTAGTCCGCCATAAATCCGTGCAGCTGTCTCAGTTCGACAGAGATCCTGCTGGATTTTTCTGATCACAGGAGATATCTTCCCTGTTTGTGTCAGACTTGCTAACAGATTGACAAAGTAGCATGTCAAAGGAGGTGAAGCCGGAGAGTGTGTCGCTGTCTCCCCTGGGTGCAACTGCTGCCCCCGAGCAGGAGCTGCTGTGCATCTTTGGGACGGGGGACTTTGGGCGTTCTTTAGGCCAGCGTCTGCTCCAGTCTGGATATAAGGTGGTGTATGGCAGCCGCAGACCTCACAGCTGTGGCCCCCTGCCCATGGGAGCTAAGGTAGAACAAAAAGCCTTATATCTCATTTGACATAGATGTAATTATTTTCATGATACTGAGACGGTGGACTGAAGTCAAAGTGCAGAGCTAGTGCTGTTGTTATCAGGCTCTGAAAGTTGACCGAGTTGCAGCAGGTCACTGATGTCATCGCTCTGTTTGCTCTGTCTGCTCTGTCTGCTCTGTCTGCTGCATTAAGCTTTAACCAATATTTGCTCGAGTAGTGAGCGACTAAAAACCACGCTAAACCAGATTGAAGTGAGTGTGTAGCCACATGTAATGCCTGCACAGTAACAATGTTGTGTTTTTGTTTCGTCCAGGTGTTAAGTCATGCAGCAGCAGCAGAGTCATCCAGTCTGGTGTTTCTTTGTATTCACAGACAACACTACGACTTTCTGGAGAGTCTTGCTCCTCAACTCAAGGGGAAGGTACCTTGTTTGCAAAGTCAGATTCCTTTGTGTTACCATCAACTGGCATGATTTCTAAGTTTTCTTCCACCCTGCTGATTTTATTGCTTGGAAGGTGCTGGTGGATGTCAGCAACAACCTCAAGAAGAATCTGTACCCAGAGGCCAATGCAGAGTATCTCCAGAGGTAGAACAAAATCAGGCTGTAATGTGATTACCTTCACTGTTGGGGGATCTCAGGGATCATGTAGTTTGAATCATCAACAACTGGCGGTACAAAACTCAAGTTTATTGTTTGTTGTGCAGGCTGGTCCCTGGAGCTCATGTGGTAAAAGCTTTTAACACTTTGTCCGCCTGGGCCCTGCAGAACGGCCCATCAGACGCCAACAGACAGGTAAGAAATGTGTTAGCTCGTGAGTGTATTTCCAGTCACATGTGGTTAAAAATATCTGACGCTCACTCTTCTTTGACTGTTATTTAGGACTTTTTTTCCCTAATGGGGACATGTCTTATTTTAGAATTAGTTCTGCTTGTGTTCCTCTTCCACTGCAGAACTACAAGCTTTCCACCATTCCCTATTGTGTTTGCACAGTGGGGTGTTGACCAACAAGTTAAAAATAATAGTCCCTTTCAGAGAGGAGAGCTTTTCCGTCCAAACTATATTATTATCTCATTTTGAAGTTTTGATCAAACCAAATCCGAGTAGAAGAAGCCAAACCGGTGGAGTCGGCCTTGTCTTTACTGTGAGTGCCATCTTTGATGTATCCTTGAATCAATTAACTCCACAGTCTCTCTCAGATCTGAGCTTCCATCACGTGCTTTGCTCTCCCGCTCTGTACTGCAAAGCTGCAGCATATGTGGGTTTTTCTGTTTCGTTTTTATCTGGTTTGTAGAATCCCAGAGGACGGTAAAAAACACTCAGGAGAGAGAGAGAGAGAGTGTGTGTGTGTGTGTGTGTGTGTGTGTGTGTGTGCGCGCTGCGGAGGGCATATGTGTATGTAATGGGATATGTGTGTGTACACAGAACAAAGTCAGCAACATTACATAGGTGTTCACTGAACATTGTTGCTTTTACCTGTTTTCTCTAATTAATTTTAGTTTTTCATACAGGATCCTCAGGTACTTTCATAGTGAATCCTCTGGAGTAAAGCATCCTTTCATCATCGCGCATGTAAAGAATAAACATAAATGAATAAATGCAAAAAGGAAATCAGGATACATACTCCCTGCACTGGGCATTTTGACTGCTTCATAAACTGTGTACGCTGCATTCACTGACCTTTCTCAGGAATAACTCTTACCTACTTTATGTTTTTGTTTTTGGGAACAGTTTTATTTTTTTTAATATACACAAAATACACACTCAGAGGCACAGTTATGTACATCTAAGTAATGGCGCTCGTCCAAAATAAATGATGGATGTGCTTCTTCATTCCTGCACATGAGGAATGTTGGACCAGAAATATTTATCAGCTTTTGTACATGTAATGCTGAACTGTTAGAAAGTTTCTCAACGTATGTACTGCCAGGGAGAGTTTAAAACTGCTTCTGTTAAAGGTCTCTGATCCATCTAGTTAACATCACACTGCTCATAATTCACTTCAGTTGTGATTTTTATGCGTGGAAGGGGAAATGCTTTGAAATTTATATTTTTTTTATGAATGGGATTCAAACAACCTCTGAAGAAATCCTAATATTATTTGTGTCATTCTTCAGCTCTAAAATGAACACATTATCATGTTCAATAACAAATATCATATTTTCTGAAATGCTCATGTTGTAATGGTATTTTATCTGGTTAGCTGGTGGAAATAAGGCTGTGGATGTTCTGACCCGATTTCACCCTGTTTTTGTTAGAACCCTGATTAGAGCTCACTAGGTTGTATGACTGGAGACAACCAAGGCCCAGCAGGCCTGACTCTTAACACCCAGTATCAGCTCCAACGTGCCATTCCAGCTCAGATAACTTTTACCAGCTCCACTTTATTAGCTTTTTTTATAACCAGTTCTTATCTTCTCTCCAAACTTTTTTTTTTCTGTATGATTTGATTTCTGTGTTGGTAACTTGGAAACCTGCAATGTCATGCCCTTTTATGGAGTTTTCACCCTTGGTAATGAGGGACATCTTACTTGAGTTTTAAAGATATGAGAACATATCATTGATAAAATCAAGGAGCCTAATCCAAGCTGTATTTTTCTTAGGCATATTATTTTCTCAGATCTTTCTAAGAAATGTATTAGAGAAAAAAATTGAGACATCAGTAAATAAAGCCCTGTGTCAATTTCACAACCAGGTGTTCTTGTGTGGAAACAGAGCAGAGGCAAAGCAGGCTGTAGCAGAAACAGCCACCAAACTGGGCTTCAGCGTTCTGGATAGAGGGTCTCTATCAGCGGCTAGAGAACTGGAAGACTTCCCTTTACGCCTTTTCCCAGAGTGGAGGCTGCCACTACTCATCGCCATCGGCCTATCTGCCTTCTTCTTCTTCTACCTGCTCATAAGAGATGTCGTGTACACGTATGTCGTCCAGGGGAAAGACATCTCTTTTAGGATCATGGTGTCTCTGGCCAACAAGGTAGGATGTTTTTTTAATGTCTACTACATCTGCGTTCGCTCATCTTTGAACAGCTACCTGCAAGTGTAATTGGTAGACACTGTTTAACTAAAACTGTCCACAAATATAGTCTTCTGTTTTTGCTCCTTATGCTTTTCAGGTATTTCCCATCGTGTCCCTCATTATGCTGGCTCTGTGTTACCTGCCTGGTATCATAGCAGCCATCCTTCAGCTCTACAGAGGTACCAAATACAGGTCAGACATCGTCACATAATAAACTGATACTTATTGTCTGCACAGAGGTGCGCTGTTGCCACCATGTTCTTACTATTGCATCACAGAAGTAAAACCGTATGTTTCAGGCGCTTCCCTGACTGGCTAGATCGCTGGATGCTGTGCAGGAAACAGCTGGGTCTGTTAGCGCTCGGCTTTGCTTCTCTACATGTGTTTTACACTCTCGTCATCCCCATAAGGTTTGCGACACTAAACACACTACTTCTAAAATGTGTCTGAAATTCATCAAGTTTAGTGTATTTTCTTCACTTACAGTCACAGCTTTAAACTTAGGAGTACAAATACAACTTAACAAACACCCAGCATTAAATTCTGCCTTTGGAAAGATTTGACATTTAGTTTACATGCTCATGGTTCATCTAGATTTTTTCATTTTTGCTGTTATTGAGTTGTATTATTCTGATAGGTGTTTTGACAGCATTGTCCTTACTTGAGGTTGTTGCACAGAGATCATCATTTTGGACCAGGAGTACCCATAAACCTAAAAGTGTTCTCCTTAAAACGGAGGGGGAGAAAGAGTGTGACAAGAGTCATAGAAAGAACTTGAAATAAACAGAAAATGATTTTGATTCACAATCACAGATAAGTAACAGATAAATCACAACAGCTGAATTTAAAGTTCATGTTTCATATTCTTATATTTAATCATGAGCATTTAGTTCAAATTGTACAATAATCAAACAAAAAAAAATCAATATTTTTAATGTTTAAAAACAAGGAAAAAAAAGAAGACATGAAAGTAGGACAAAAACTACTTAAGTGGATGGATGGCAGAGATATCGCTCATTGATCAGTATCATTATAAATAAAGGTCTATTATTACATTTTTCTATCTATTATATTTCTACAATGTTATTGCAAACCGTCAAAAAGTTGCTGTTTGGTTCAAATGGATCCACTCAGTATTTTTAATATGTAAGAGAGTTATGTACAGTGAGCTGGTAGTTATACAAATCAGAATCCCAACAGGGTGAGCAAAAGGCTCTGTCTTACTCTTATCTCTATAACCACCTGTTCACTAGACCTACATGTAATCCCCCTCATGACCAACCAATGACATAAACGAGCTTACACAAAACATTAATTTATACATGTATTTATTGATTTAGAAAGGATTCATTCATACAGAAAAAGGCCCTCTGATTTCACTGTCAGATATGCTTCCATGGTAACGGTTTGTAATCAGCCTCCTTGTAGGACAAATTAGCATGAAACTGAACATTTTAATTTGTGGTCAAGTTTAAACACAAACCTGAATTGGTGTTGTAATTCACAGAAAACTAAACATTTCCACTGACAATACAGTACCAACAATGCAGGGATAATGGCTTTTATAATTCACAGAAAGTGTAATGTTGCTCACCAGCCTACACTGTGGTTGGGTTAGGACCCACTTCTCTTCAGATTTTCATCTGAATAGTTTTGTTGTTTTCATTCCCAGATATTATGTGAGGTTCAAGATTGGTGCAGGCATCATTTCACAGGTAAGAAACTCATGTAACAATAAAAAAGGTGATAAATTCAGTTCTCAGTTTGCACAAAAGAAATACTTTCTAATTCAGACAAGTTTGGATCATTTGAAAGTTTTCTCTGCTCCTAAGCATCTCTGTGTCATTGACTGTCTTTTTCAGATAAAAGAGAACCGGACATCAGAGTTTGACAACAGCATAGCCTGGCGTGGTGACTCGTACTTCTCCATGGGGATTCTGGGATTCTGCCTGTTTCTTCTCCTGGGAATAACCTCCCTCCCATCTGTCAGCAACGCTCTCAGCTGGAGGGAGTTCAGCTTCATACAGGTGAATACTGGCATGTGTGTCTGAGTCACGCTCTGTGTGACTATCTGGATGTGTTTGTGTGGGAGCTGCAGTGTTTTTGCAGTTTCACAATGACACATTATGGGCTCATACACAGCTCTGTTTCCCCCTGTGAAGAATGATGTGCAGACCATCTAAATTTATCTAAATCCCTGCATCCTGTTTACTGCTCTCGGGCAGCCACAACTGAAGATGAGGAATTTTTATAGAACCGGTTCCAGTGATGCTGGCCCTGTTGTGTCCTCAGCAATCTGTCCAATAGCTCTGCCCTTAAGCACATGTTTATGTTTGTGTCTGTGTGTGTGGTATAACAGGAATAATTAAACAACAGATTGTAAAGCTAATGCTTTTAGGCTGAATATAGAGAATACAGAAAAGAACTTTAAATCCTTTCCCCTGAAACGTAAAATGAATTAAAAAAAATAAACAGACGAGTCTTCACACCTTTTGTAGCCAACTGATTTGGCACACGCAGCTCTCGAAAACAGGCCTGAATGGCTCCCGAGCATTTGCGGCTCATTTTAGAGCTGGTTCTATGATATTTCATGAGCCAGGTTCTGATAAAATGAATACAAACAAGCTCATTGTGAAATTTAATTTGGAACGACTGATTAGCTCACCTCTACAGTGTGGCCTTTAGAGGCAGAAATGACACATAGATTGATGATTCATTTAACACAGAGACATGCTCTCAATATTAAACAGACTCTTCCACTTCACCATGCAGGCTAAAGCTATTTAAAAGCACTCCTTGAAGATTTCTGTATACTGCTTTTACTGTGATGTACCTGTTTATGCTCCGGGCTGCTGGTTTTATAGTAAGTGTGGAAATGCAGTGGGAAATTTCTAACCTTTGAGGAAAGTAGACACTGACAAAAAATCCATAATGTGTCCATTAGCAAAGATTTCTGCACCTCTAGAAAAGGAATCGATAAAAGAAAGAGGAAAGAAAATGTTTTCGCCACATAGAAAACTTTGTGTTTGAAGTGTGTTTGTGATTTTATACATTTTTTAATGATAATTTTTTTCACATGATCACAAATATTTATGTTTTATTCGCCACTTTGACCAATTGAAAATCAAATCAGCCTCACCACAGGGAACAAACTCATTCATAAATGTAACTGGGTCATGTCAGGACTGTCTTTTTTTCCCTCTAAAGCCCTCCCCTTTACCCCCACCCAAATTAGAGCAGTGCTTTAAATGTTAAGTTATTCATCAAATGTAATTTGGGGGGCATACATTATCCTTGGCCATGGTCTTTGTTCATGTGTGTGCGGTGGCTGCTTTAAAATATGTGTGCATGTGGTTTTGTGTTCTCTATCTGCTAAAGCGTTGTTGTTTGAATGTTCACATATCTACACAAAGTAACAAGTGAGTTGGAGTGTGTGCACATGTGTAGGTCAAAAGCTTGTCTCGTTAAAGGTCAATCTATCGCATTCCAGTTTTGCAAGCCTATTACACAGTCATTAGTCATGTGTTTATCACCGCAATTGTAATTATGTGCATCTGCGAATGTGCCCATAATCAGCAGCTGCGTAAGTATGTGTCTTAACTTGTGTTTTTAACTCTTTCAGTCCAAGCTGGGGTATCTGACGGTCTTCTTCTGCACATTTCACGCCTACCTGTACGGCTGGGACAGATTTCTTCGTCCTTCCACATACAAGTGGTTCACACCGCCGGGCTACATGCTTTCACTGATTGTGCCGTCTTTGGTGCTGGTATTTAAGCTTCTGCTCCTCTTGCCCTGTGTGGACCGCACCCTCACGCGTATTCGACAGGGCTGGGAGAGGTGTGATCCTGAGGACGACAGCAAAAAAACATTACTGACATAACACCGTCACAGTCACAGACGCTGAAACAATGATAAGTGCCGCCACATTGCAGACACAAAGGTGCCACAGTGGGTAAATTTAGGTCATTGATGTCAAAGTTGTTCAGTTACACCTACAGTATTCCTCTGGTTTCTATTGCCAACACAAACAACACAATAGCTACTACAAGTAATCACACTGGAGATTTTCCTTCGGACACAGTAACAGGATACACTATCAGACTATATAACCAATCAACCAATCATATATTAGAGCAGCTGAACTCTCTTTTCTCATTACTTTACCTTCTGATAATACAAGTGTGCTCATGAACATCAGTGTTATTGTCCTGAACTCAGAGATCAGTGCAGTGATTATGATTCCCTTAGCACAGTGGTTCTCAAGTCCAGTCCTCGTGCCCCCCCGTCCTGCATGTTTTGGATGTTCTCCTGCTCCAACATACCTGATTCAAATGATCAGCTCGTTAGTAAGCCATTCCAGAGCTTGATAACGAGCTGATCATTTGAATCAGGTGTGTTGGAGCAGGGAAACATCCAAAACATGCAGGACGGGGGGGCACGAGGACTGGACTTGAGAACCACAGCAGTCTTATCATTTCAAATAACTGCTTTTTGCCTCTCCAACATTCATTTACTGTATTTGGCAGCTTAGATGTATTGATCTACTGAGCGTATTTTTATGTACATTGTGCTTTCTTGACTCCTTTGTCAAAAAATAAACTATGATTAAATGTTGATAAAAAGCATCTACATGCTTCTCTTTTCCTTCCATAAATCTCATCCAGTCTGAAAGCTCAGTCAAACCCCCAACCTTTATTTCCTGCTGAGTTGAGCGTGCTCTGTTTCATCGTCTCGGTCTGATCCCTCTCCAGGGTTCATCCCTCTGGCTGATCTGATGCTGTTCTCCAGGAAACATTCGCTCTGAGCTGCAGACTTCTCCCCAGTTACTTTACTGGATCACATCAGTGGAGAGAGGAGCGTGCAGACTCCATCACTCAAGTCCTCTGTAGAGAGGGTGTTATATTTGGCTGTGTCAGTAAAAATAGGCCCTTGATGTCATGCCAGAAGTCATTTCAGTTGATTGTGACTGGAGCAAGCAGAAACCTCCGGTGTTGAAATATGAAGCTAGAAGTATTAGAAACTGCAGTTCATTGAGTGTCCATCTGAGGTTTAAAATTTTACATAATGAGGCATAAATAGAGATTATCGACCGATTAATACATTACAGCTGTTAGCCAGAAGGCTAGGCCCACCTCACCTCCACCTCTTTGTCTGTTGATAGATTGACTGTCATAGGAACCTCATAAATCTGAAGGATCAGGTTGGCTTAATGCATCTCTGATTCAAAAAGTAAGGAAGCTGCAAAAACTCTTTATTTATACTCATTTATTTGATAATTCCCCCTACCTCTATTCTTAGACTGTTTTAGTAAGTATACATGACTTTATATGCTTCGTTTTTCAACAAAGACAAAAAAAAAAGGTTTCAAAATCCGCTTCAGAAACCACCAGGTGATATCACCCAAAATATATTCATGTTTTCACAGAGCGTAAAATGTAGTGAAAAAAGCACAATGCTTAGACATTTGTTTGTTTGTCATTTAACAAAATTTCACTGAAAGCTCCATTCTCCCTTAAACTTCCTCAGCTGTGCTCTGTTATGTGTTGCTTTAAAATCTTGACGTACGTCACCAAAAAAGAATAAATTTTGTCAAATCAGCAGGATTCATCTAAGCAGAAATTCTGAAAGAGAATCAAAAAGAATCTTTAAAAAAGTGACAATGAATTAAGTATAAAACTCATAACTGTTTACATCAAAGCTCCAATGAGGAGTTTTTTTAAGGTTGTGAAATAGAGTAGAATTCATGTTAGGGTCCTGTTTTTACACTTTTTTCATAATATGTTCCCAATAAATGAGTTTAACTTTAAAAGGCAGTAGGATGAGATTTTCTATCTGGAGACACGACTGAAGTATGAAGACTGAATCGTCCACAGGTGGCGTAGAAAGTTCCTCAAACTCAAAAAAAAAATGTAAACAGTATTTTTTCTGCTTTTATTTTGAGAGTTGTAGCAGTCTGTTCATGAAAATATCTCTGTATTAGCTCATGAAAAACAAAAGTGAATTAGAGCAAACTCAGACAAAAGTCAGTTGTCAATGAAATATTCTTGTTTTGACTGGAGATTGACTATTTTTGGTAGCCTCTCCAAAGCTTCAACGCATTTCTTCATAAATAATGTAAGATTGAACTTAAGTACAATCTGAAGCTGAACTTAAGTACCGTCTTCAAATCATCACAACCTTAGTGCATTCCTCTTGGTGCAAGGAGGTTTGCTGAGATCCTCAAAACATAAACACAAGAGCTAGAGTATTCTGAGGCTGACTTTAAAACCATGTTCAGACTACATTTGCCTGCAAAAAAAACTGGGGAAAAAAACCCAAACAAATCATACCACAGAAAATCCCTGTGGTGAGGTCAATTTTCAAAAATTGCATCCTACCAAGAAGAGAAAACACAGATTATCACTAAAAGAAACACAAGTAGTGTAAACAATGCTAAGTAACTGCAACAAAAAAGTAATAGTATGAGGACTAAAGTCATCTTGTAGTCATTTGAATTAATCCTGTCATTTTAGTAAATTAAGGCAGTGCAAAAATAATGATAACTTTTCAGAGCGGTTAATGTTTTCTGATCAAAAGAGCAAAGGTTATCCAAATGCAGACTTAATTCATGTTACATTTCTGCAGGAAACCGTGACAATGCTCACATGCAATGCAAAGTAATAAAAAACAAAAAACATTTCAACAGAAGAAACACCCATTAGGATTTTATTCCGTTGATTCAGCAGAGAGCTCTCTGTGAAATAACATCTTTTTAAATCTTAGCTCTCTAAAACCAAAAATGGAGAAGTAGATAAGGGAAGGAAACGCCCAGGCACCAAGATGTATAAGCAGAAAAAAAGGAACAAGTGAGTGTACAAAACTTTCAGTCATTCTCCCTGATTCACACACAGACCAGACATGGTTTTCAAGGTAAGATCGTCACACGCAAAACTGAAAATGCAAAAGTTTAAAGACTGTGTTTTATGTAAACTATTTGAATTTGTGTAATAAGTGTGATTTCTTTGTCTTTGTATCAGATGGAGCTCCTGTTGCTGCTAACGATATTGACATCATGTGCCGCGGCTCCTCAAGGTAAAAATAATCATTGTGTAACAGAGGGAACACAAACGTAGTATTGCATTCAGATTTAAACCGCTTGTAAGAAGTCTCAGTTTAACCCCAAGCTTAAACCTGTGTTTTCTCCACTCTAATTTATGAGTAAAGAATATTCTTATTGATATATAGTAAATAATAACATAAAAACTGAATCGACCAATATCCTCCACAGGCAAACATTCAGTCTGAGTGCAAGTTCTGTTTTAAAGGTGCAGTGAGTCGACCATTTAGCAATATCTAGTGGCCAAAGTCTGGGTTGTAACACTTCCTTGCTCAAGCCTCTTGCTGCTGAAGCTTGGCAAGCAGCGTTGGCCTCTGAGGACATGGAGATCCTGGGTTGTATGCTTAGTTTGATCCCCCCATTTGTCAGATTTTTTTAATAATAAAAAATGCCTATTAATACCAGTTTTACACACACCAGAAAACTATTCTTTTCTTTAGGTTCCAACTAGTGCATTTCACATTCTCTGAGTGCTCAATCATTGGTAAAACTGGAGGGAAAAAAAACGCTGGCTCTTACTTATTTTTTGCATCATTCTAATTGTACCCTGTAAATGTACGGAAAACTGCTTGTAGGCATCACTGCCACATTTTAAACATACGACTTAATTACTCTAAGAGCTTTATGCATTTGTCTAATTAGTTTTAAAATGCATCAGAAATACAGCCCCTGAACATCTCGCTCCACAAACAAAAAGATAAAGCAGAATGATGACTACGAGTATGGTGAAAAGCTTCTGTGACATGCAATGCTGTACATCATATTTGGACAATCAGCTGTCTTTTTTAGGCTTTCTACTCTGGTGCTGTCATAACCTGGCTCAAGGGCCATGACAAATGTGGGAAGGACACAGAAAATACTTGCAACAGTGGCTTGTTTATTTCAAAAATACAGAAAAAACCAAGTGAATAATCTACAGCAAAACATGGAGTGTGTTAGTCAGTTCAGTCAGTGGTGTAACTGTGGATTTGTGTGGTGATTCACCGTAGAGTGTTGTCAAGCGAAACAAACAAAGACAAAATGTACCGGTGAAGGCTGGGATGGTTTTGGTGAAATGAGAGAGAGAGAGAGAGAGAGAGAGAGAGAGAGAGAGAGAGAGAGAGAGGTCAGCAGCAGGGTTGGGCTTTTAACCCTGCCAGGGCCAGGCCCAGGTGATCCAAATCATCATCATGAACAGCACTCAGGTATCTCTGCAGCAAGGTGGAGAAGACAGAACAGGTTAAGCATAGAAGAGCTGAAGGATAACTGCAACAGAAGCCATCACAGTACACTCTACACATCTTTTACAACAACATTAGAGAACAAGCTATATATATATATATATATATATATATATATATATAGAGAGAGAGAGAGAGAGAGAGAGAGATAGATATAGATATAGATATAGATATAGATATAGATATAGATATATATACATCTTCGTGCACAGAGCTTGAGTACTGCCTTATTTTAGTACTTTTGTGTGTCTCCATATGTTTTTTTTGGCAGCTTGATGGTACTGGGTGCTGTTCCCCTAACAACAGGGTATATTATTGCAGTATATGTGGAAGACCATCTGGCATAGGAGTGGAGTTGTCCTCTTCTTTTCACTCAGATTTTACTGGCATATCTAAGACTGTAGAGACGCTGTAGAGAGTTGGTGTTCATCTGACATTATTCTCCAGCAAAAACAGAGAAGTTAGCCTCATGTAACACCCGTGACCAGATGTGAGCATCATGTAGAAAGTCATTGGTAAATATTTAGGCGCTGTAATAGAAGAGAAACTGAAGGTCCCTATATGCTAAAAAAGTACCAGCACACTGAGGGTTTAAAGGGATTTCCAGCATAAAATTAATTTAGGGTCAAACACACCGTAACATGGAGTTAGATATGTAGTTTCTTAAAGTTTTAACGTTGACTTGTAAAATCTGGATGGTAGTGTTGCCACCTTTAGAGCAGTGTTTGTGACTGATGTTTCTTAATGCCTGTAAGACTACTGTCTGTCAAAATATATAATGTATGCATCATTGGACAAGTTGGTCACCACAAGGTAACTGTAATTATTAGTTTAGAAATTATGATCAGCCTTTAGCCTTGCAAAATAGATCAAATGAAGATCGGTGCTAAACTATCAACCATCAGGTATTCAAAACACTTTTTCTTTCAGATATGTCGGGCCAAATGTTCACCTTCCCTCAGCAAACCAAGAGCTCTTATGTAAGGCTGATGACATCCATGCGTGACCTGAGTGCTATAACCGTCTGTCACAGGTAGAACTTCATGAATAAAGTGCACCAAGAACCTCCCTGTATCTCAGACTGTAAAAGGCTTTATTTATGATGATTTCTGACTTACACCCCCAGGTCCTTTACAGATCTCAAGCGAGATCACTCCATCTTCTCCCTGGCCACACCCTCAAATATCAATGCCTTCCTGATTTTTTGGGATGCAGCAAACAAAGAAATGGAGGCCCACGTCAAGGATACCAAAGCTGAATTTGCAGGGCTGGACTACAAGCCAAACATGTGGCACTCCATTTGTACTACATGGGAGTCTTCAACTGGACTGACGCAGCTCTGGTTTAACGGAAGGCCGACTATCAGGAAAACTACCAGTAGTGGATCAAGCATTTCAGGGACATTTATCATTGTTTTAGGACAGGTACAGTTAGACTCATAGGCATAATATGAAGGATCAGTTCATTCTATAAATCCTGACTGATATATTTATATAAAATTCAACTTCATGAATCTCAGTCTTGTTTTATCTCTACAGGAGCAGGACGCCCATGGTGGAGGGTTTGATGTCAATCAGTGTATGATTGGAATGATGTCTGACGTTCACATTTGGGACCATGCCCTCTCAGCCTGTGAGATTCACAAATACACGGACGATCTGAACTTCACTCCAGGAAATGTGATCAACTGGAGGTCGCTGGATTTCCAGACTTTTGACAGGGTTGTTGTGGAAAAAGAAGAAATGACCTGTCACTGATATCTGAGACAATATCAACTACATCTTAGAAAGTGAAAATCTCTCAGTTTTATTGTATCACATCCAGCATGAAGTAGGCAGACAGACTAAGGAAACACATTGGAAAAAGAACAACACCTGGGTGCTTTAGCATGTAAAGGTATGAGTATATGAGAGGGCCTGAGGAGGACACTTCAGGTGTAGAGGTAAGATGGTTTTTGAAGGCAGTTAGGTGGCATGCTTTCCTAGAAAAAATCAAGTTCAACTTCTAACTCAATGACAGGAAAATATTTACTTTGATTCTTGAATGCGTTCAACTTTTAAATCATAATGTTCTCAAATTAGTGCTGAACTCACACCAGCATGTGAAGCTAAATAATCAATGTCTTTCAAAATCAAAATCCTGTTGTTTTTAATTTGATGTCAAGAGCTAACAGATTCATTGGACTTTGACTATGTTTGATAAAGTGGAATTTTTCATCTGTGTGAGTCTCTTTCTTGGTCTGTTCTCGTGATTTGTTATGCAAGCAAGTAATTTTACTTATTACAGTTTTCAACCAGCAACTTCATTTCAAACAAATACTTGACAGTGTAAAAAAGCTCAAGTTAATAAACAACTATGGTGCCCAGTTTCAAGCTCTTGTATGTCACGTTTTGTATTTGATGCTTTCTATGGACCTTAACACTTTGTTTTTACGACACCACTGTGATTGTGTGATTGGAGCTAAAACTGTATTTTGAGGTGCAAAAGTCCATAGATAAAATGAATAAGGACCTTACTGATAAACCACAGCGAGTTAATGAATTGCCCCTTATCAGATTTTATAAAGTAAATAAGTTCAAATTGATTAACAAGTTCCTGAGAGAAGAACACACTTAAAACAGCTTTATTTGAGACAAGTGTCACGCAGATTATAACCAGTTATACCTTAATATTACTAAAAGAAACTCTCAGTAAACTTAACATTCACCAAACATAAAAGTCAAAATAACTTTCTCTCAGACAAACCACTCGCCCTATAAATCTTTGAAAGAAGGTAGGAGTTTGGTGCACGTGTGAATAGAGTCTGAGGAAATTTAGACTACTGGAGTTTAAGCCCTTTGTTTGATATTTAACTCTCTGGTTGTTCTTGGGATAAAGAGTATAAACCCTATATTTAATTGAAAACGAAAATCTCTTATAAGTAAACCTGGAAAGAGGTTCAAAACTTTGGGGTGAACATCAAACGAGTTTCTCTTTAACACGGTTTCTGTCATTCTAGTTTGTTCTTGTAAGGCTGAGTCATGTCTAAATGCTCATTTTTCTAAAAAGTTTAGTTTCAAGTAGTTTTTTGATTTTGAAAACAGCATAATTGACAGCTTTGATGTTTTGGCTCCATTCTTCTCACAGTCACTGAAATTTGTTCCACAGAAGTTGATGTGACACTGACAGAAACACCCCCTGCCCAAACTTTTTGAAAAATAAAACAAAATTTTTAGTTTCAACATTTCACATGTTGCCTTTGTACTACTTTTAATTAAATGTAGAGCTTTTGTGATTTGAAACCTTCCAAATCTGTTTCTATTTACTTTTAACACAGCGTCCTAATTTCAGAGGGATTGGGGTTGCACTGAGGTTTACTTTTTTATGCTGACTTGCACACTCCAAATCTGTTTAGCTTGTTGTGCTTCATCTTTCAGGTTAGATTGGGAACCACTGAGTTGCCCTTGTTTATGTGTGTTTGTGTGTGTGTGTGTGTGTGTGTGTGTGTGTGTGTGTGTGTGTGTGTGTGTGTGTGTGTGTGTGTGTGTGCTTGTGTGTTTTTTTTTTTGTTTGTTTTTGTTTTGTTTTAATGATTAACTTGATGCTATGAATTAGTCCAGTGACTGCAATAAGGAAGTAGCTAAGTTATAAAAGTCATTGATGCACTGATATGAAACTAAGATGCATAGCTGGGTGAAAAAACAACCCAGTTAGGTTCTTTTTTATGTAATATCTTTGCAACAAAAAGTTACTAAAATCTCATGCTTCAGTAATTTTTGGAAAATCTTGTTTTTTCTCTGAAATGTTGAACTTACCACTTTTAAAGTTTTAAGAAATTGTAATTTTTGCAATACTCCCCCAAGCTTCCATGAATGGATCTGAGATGACCTACTTTTGTTTCCTATGGGAATTTTTGATTCTTATTACCTGTCAGGATCATATTTACTGTGGACCACATTATTTATTTTATAAGTGTATAATTTCTAATGAACAACTTAAACTCAACAAGATCTGATTCATTTAATTATTGTCTGAATTTTGACCTCAGAAAATATTATTTTGTCATATCTTTAATCATGATAGTCTAATTAGCATTTGTAGATCATATGGAAGCATCAGTGACAACTTCTTTCCCTTTCAAAAACTGGAGAAAAAAAAACTCCACACAAGAGCTTTAAATACATAAAGATAGTTGACTTATTTATCTTGAGGTGGGTTGGAATAAAAAGATAAATGAAAGACAAATAATAATTTGAAGCCAAAGTTGCTTTAAATACATTGATTCTAACATGGGTTATTTTTGACCCAGTTACGGAAGAGTGCAGGATCCAGGAAGTCATGCATGTAAGGGAAACACAATCCTGTTGGCTGCTATAAAGTCAATCAATGACAGCAATAAGGAAGTAGCTTTGGTTATAAAAGTCCCTAATACGCTAATACTAAACACAACACTCTGACACAGAGATCAAGGTAAGACATGATAAAAACTGAAGAAAAAACAGAAATTTCATTTTGCAAACTGCGGTAAGGGACTGCATGTGTCACACGGGTTGGTAAAGTCTTAGATTGTTCTTGATTCATTTGATATTTAAAGGGTGCATATGTTTTTTTTTTTTATTAGATGGCGTTGCTGCTTCTGTTGGCGATGCTGACCGTATGCGCTGCTCTTCCTCGAGGTAAAAATACATACCTTCATTCTTTAATACAGAGAACAACAAAACTCTGGAAAAGTGTGCTGTCTCGATGTGTCTTATCTTTCTTACTTTTTTAAGGCACAAGTAAACTTTTAAACTTTTAAAGACAAAATATAAATATGCTTACTGTTGAGGACAACAGTTTGGCAAAACTTGAGTGACAAAGTTGTGTCAGATGAGACTAATTCATTTCATTTAATGTTTTTCATCACCTCGCAGTTAAAGGTTTGGGCTTTTTCATAAAAAATGTTGTTATTCTTGATTGTTTATGTATGCACAAGAATTGAGACTAAAGTAATGATTTTGTTAAATTGTACATATGTAACAGTAGACTACTATTGGTCTGAAACTGTGTGATTTGTGTTAATAGTTTTTGTCATAGTATCTTTGTGTTTTGATTTCTTTCTTTATCGAAGATATGTCTCGTAAGATGTTTACCTTCCCACAAGAGTCAAACACAGCTTATGTGAGGCTGACAACATCGAGACAGAGTTTGAGGGCTGTGACCGTCTGTCTGAGGTGGTGTCATATATGCAGAATTTTCCCTGAATAAAAATGATGATCATAGATATCCTTATGAAATCAGCAGTAATGACAATATTTTTTGTTTGTTTGTTTTTGTCTCCACAGAACCTTTACAGACCTGAATAGAGATCATGCCCCCTTCTCTCTAGCCACACCTGGTGTTTTCAATCACTTCTTGATTTACAGATATGCTGCAAGTAATGAGTTTTCCATGAATGTCAGGAACAACGAAGTTAAATTCAGAGAGCTGGACTACAAGCCGAACACGTGGCACTCATTTTGTTCCACATGGGACTCTGTCTCTGGTGTGGTGCAAGTTTGGTTGGATGGAAAGCCCTCAAGCAGGAAGTACATCTCTGGATCAATGATCACTGGACCTATGATCATTGTTCTGGGACAGGTATACTCTTTTAACAATATGGGAATAAACTTACATTAATTAGCCCAGAGTGTGTTAGCACAGATTACCGTAAAGACTAGAAATACAAGCAACAATGTATTTTGACTAAGCCTTTGTTAGGGTCAGTGATTATTGAGAGTCACAGTTGGATTATCAGTTTTCTCATCACTTGTGTCCACTCCAATCTCTCTGCAGAAGGCAAAAGTTAGTCGACTTCTATGGCCTGCAGTTTTCACTCTCTGAAAATAATCTCTGATGGGAAGTCAGCGCCATGAACCACAGCAAAAGTCATGTTATATGCCCAATTAGAACAAAAACAAAAGCACTGACGCCAAGAATGAGTCCAGAGATTAAACTGGCTGTATGGATGATACAAAGTGAACCAACAAAATTCACTTTTCACTCAAAATGATCCCATCACATACCTTTAGGTTAAATATACTAAAAACACCACAACAGTTACTGATCAAGTAATGATGTAAAGAAACCCCTTTATTTTAACAGTTTGTAAAAATGTTTCTCTCTCATATAAAAGTCAACATTTTACAAAGGAGGATAAAAAAATCAACAAATAAATGAGGTCAGATTTTTTAAAACTCTGACTTCAGTCTCATTACTCTCTGAGATTTAAATCAGAGTTCTGACTTTTTTACTACTAATATGCTCATATTGAAATCTGTATTTAGAGTATAAATTTCATCACAATGTAACAACTGTCTCTTGAACAATTTCTACAGGACCAGGACAGTTACGGCGGAGGGTTTGACGCTAAACAGTCATTTGTTGGCATGATGTCTGATGTCCACATGTGGGACTACACCCTCTCACCCTGTCAGATTCAACGCTACACGAATCACTTATCCTTCTCCTCAGGCAACGTGCTTAACTGGGCGGCGTTGTCGTTTCAGACCTTTGGCAGGGTTCTGATCGAAGATCAACAAAGGGGCTGTTTCTAAAAAAAATTTAAAAACCTTTGAATCAGAAAAAACTTCAACAAATCAAAATAGGTTTGAATTTTTAATATGCATTTAAAGATTGTCTTCTGATTTCTCTGTTATTATTGTAAGTTGTGTTGTAGAGATTTGCTTTATTTTTCATTCACATCAATGCGATTAAAGGATTATTACTTTATAAACATATATTGTAGGCCTAAACTCTTGACTTGCTGTCGTACAGAAGTTATAAAAACTGAGGTATAAAACATTTTCAGTCGTGCATCAGTGCTGCATGTGAAAAAGAAATGCTCTTTAAGATAAAAGATTGTACTTCAAATTTATTGTAACTATCCAAGAGAACTGAAATGACAGGTTGTAAATACTATTTTAGCATGACTACACCTCCTGTATTTGCCATTTTTGTTATTTCTCTGTAAAGAAAATGTAAAGTGTTGGACAGTGTTATTACATACATGTTAATGTGCTCATGTAGCAAACAAAGTATTAAAGCCATGGTAAATTCTTCATAACATTGTCTTCATAACAAACAGTAAATCCTTACTTAAAACGTGTGCTGTTTATTCATGCTCATATGTTGTTGTCAAGCGAAATAAACGAAGACAAAATGTACCGTTGAAGGCTGGGATGGTTTTGGTGAAATGAGAGAGAGAGAGAGAGAGAGAGAGAGAGAGAGAGAGGTCAGCAGCAGGGTTGGGCTTTGAACCCTGCCAGGCCCAGGTGATCCAAATCATCATCATGAACAGCACTCAGGTATCTCTACAGCAAGATGGAGGAGACAGGACAGGTTAAGCATAGAGGAGCTGAAGAATAACTGCAACAGAAGCCATCACAGTACACTCTACACATCTTTTACAACAACATTAGAGAACTGGCTTAAAGGAAACCAGAACTGTACATTAAAACATGCTGCATAGAGCTTATGTACTGCCTTATTTTAGCACTTTTGTGTGTGTCCATGAGGTGCAAAAGTCCATGTATTAAACAAATAAGGATCTTACTGATAAACCACAGCTAGTTAATGAGTTGCCCCTTATCAGATTTTATAAAGTAAATAACAAGTTAAAGTGGATTAACAAATTCCTGAGAGAAGAACACACTTAAAACAGCTTTATTTGAGACAAGTGTTATGCAGATTATACCCAGTTATACCTTAATATTACTAAAAGAAACAATCAGTAAACTTAACATTCAGCAAACATAAAAGACAAAATAACTTTCTCTCAGACAAACCACTCGCCCCATAAACCTTTGAAAGAAGGTAGGAGTTTGGTGCACGTGTGAATGGAGTCTGAGGAAATCTAGACGTTGAAGTTTCTCTTTAACATGGCTTCTGTCATTATAGTTTGTTCTTGTAAGGCTGAGTCATGCCTAAATGCAAATTTTTCTGAATAGTTAACTTTCAAGTATTTTTTTTGATTTTGAAAACAGCATGATTGACAGCTCTATTGACAAATGTGGGCTCCTGCAGCGTTTTTCGTCTTTCACGCTCACAGATTAGAGAATGAACCATGAGAGAAGATATAACAAACACGAACACATGAGTCATCCATGACTTTGACTGTCTGCCACAAATCAACACTAGACGATCCTCTGCTGTAGACTGTACCCACATGTTTTGTCTTGTTCTCTTGAGAAGTTAAATATGTTTCGGTTAGCATCAATGGTGTGACAATCACTCCAAGGACATCACTAACCAGCTTGCCTCTGCACCTCTGTTGGTTTCTGCAGCATTAATGTCAGCACCACAGGGATCAAGGTGTTTTGAAAATAAACTTTTCTTCCAATTGCAACCAATATAGGATCTTGAGTCAACCAGTTGTCTTAGTAAATTTTACATCTTTGTCACGTAAGATGCATGTGACATAAAACTGCAGAGTAGTGGAAACCACACCAAAAGCTGGAAATATCAGACAAACATCAAACTAGCAGTTGGCACTTCTCCAAATATGCAGAGGGGAGTGAAAGCACAGTAAGGGTATGCTGAACTTTGATCTGTTGACAAAAGTAAACAGGGGGACTGAGGACATTTAAGGCTAGAATTTAGTTTGTCACACACCACATCTGCAAACGAAACCATTTTCCATCTCAAAGGTAAGACAAAGACGTGATAAAAACTGAAGAAAAACAGAAATTTTATTTTGCAAACTGCAGTAAAGAACAAGCAGTTTGTGTGTGTCACACAGGTTGGTAAAATCTTAAATTGTACTTGATTTATTTGATATTTAAAGAGTGCATTTGTTTTTTTATTAGATGGCGTTGCTGCTTCTCTTGGTGATGCTGACCGTATGTGCTGCTCTTCCTCGAGGTAAAAATACATACCTTCATTCTTCAATACAGACAACAGCAAAATAAGACAGGCGTATACTCTGAAAAAGTGTGCTGTGTCTTGATGTGTCTTATCTTTCTAATTTTTTTTAAAGGTATGAGCAAAGTTTTTAATTTAATAAGACAAAATATAAATATGCTTGCTGTTGATAATAAGAGTAATAAGTACAACAGTTTGGCAAAACATGAGTGACAAAGTTGTGTCAGATGAGACTAATTGCTTTTATTTAATGCTTTTCATCGCCTTGCAGTTAAAGTTTTGGGTTTTTACATTAAAAATGTTGTTATTCTTGATTGTTTATGTATGCACAAGAATTTATTATGAAAGTTTTGAAGCCATTTTTTATACTTGGATCCTTGTAAAAGTAGTAGAGGGATTACGCTCTGCCTCCTTACTCAACACAGACAAGTGGAGCTGTGTGTATGTGGTTTCCCTCATTCTCATACCACAAGTATTTCTCTTAATTAAGGTAAATACAGCACACAAATCATTGTAAATTTAAGCACACATGTGAATAATAGCCTTCCATGTGCACCTGTGATTTTGTACGACAGAAATATATGTTTGTGCATGTTTATTTGGTGCTATTAAGTTTGGGCTTATTCAGATAATGTAAACCAGCAAGGAGTCAGACTCTATAGCTGCTCTTCAGCTGTCAAGCACTCCTCAGATGATGACTTACACTGATACATAAATTTACCAGTAAGACAAATGCATTTATTTTGTGCTTCAATGATTCATATGACAGAAATAATGAATAAATGAGGTAGTGATTTGTTGGAATATTAAAAACTGCATGGCTAAATTCATGTATTGAGACTTAGCCCTTGGTTCCTGTTAGTTTTAAGCTCCATCCAGCCTACTTTATCCCCAAAACGGACATGTAGATAAGTGTTCAGAAACAATCATTTTTTAATATTTTTTTTCTTTCACTTTTCTCAATTCATATCTCTTAAAATACTTCAGCCCTGATCATTAGAAAAATAATTAATAGAAAAGTTGAGTTATTACCCTTTTTATGCCAGTTTTGGTGTGCCATGTCACTGCTATTTTTAACGGTAAAAAACACAAAATCGCCATATTTCCCATGTTAAATGACCTGGATTATTATTTTTTTTACATTTTTTGATAAATAGAGTCTAGGCCATGTCAATGATGAGAAGTAAAACCGATTTTGGTGCATTTTTTCATATTTGAAGCTGCATCCAGCAAACTTTGTCCGCAAAACGAACATGCAGATAAGTGTTCTTAAATAATCATTTTTTAAAATTTTGTCTTGCTATTTGGACATAAATCTTTTAAACAACTTCAGCCATAACTATTCAAAAAGTAATGAATAAACAATTCGATGTATTACCCTTTTGATGCCAGTTTTGTGTGCAATGTCATATTTATTGATATAGTGTGTTTTAAACAGCTCTGGTTTTTGGAGTCTTTTGGAGCAGAAAAACGCGCCATATTCTCAAGCCTCGTTCTCCACCAAATCAATTGCGATCAGATTCATTAGTTCACATTAAATTAATTATATATTTAGGCATATAAAACCAGAAGATATATGTAAGATAGGAATCAATTACAAGTGGTTATGCACCTCTAACCAAAATATGACTGTAATTACGCTGATTGCGCTCATATAAAAAAATAACCGCATATTTGAGATGTGATATCTTCTCAACTAATGATCCGAAGGACCTGTGCATCCTCATTATCCACTTACTCTGAAGTGAGGTCAAAGTTGAAATTGTCCAAATGTCCCCCTCTCTTTGTCCCACATGGTAGAACTTGGACGTCATATTTTCGACTGTAAAAACTCTGCTCATGGCATGCCCGGTTATAAACATTGACACAGATTCGCACCTGGGCATATACGCAGGAGCACACAAACTTTTCCTTGCACACATATCCCAATCTTAGACATCCATATCTAGTGGCATGTAAAGTTTCATTCAATTCTGATGATGTTTAGTGGATGAAATAGCGCTTCAAACACTCTCAGTTCATGAATGAAGACTTGCATGTGTGGCACCGAAGGGGTTAAAATTATGTGCCAGCTCAATCTGTTGTATCACTGTCAGAAAGTAAAATTTAGAGCCCTGGTGATCGAGTGACTGCAAAATAAAGGTTATTATGTTTTTATGGTGCCATAAACACACAGTCAAAAAACATGTGTTTAATGGAAGTCTATTGTCCAATTTGAGGACAAAGTAGGGTGGACGCCCCAATCTTTAAAAATGTGACTGTCAGCTCAAAATAAAGATTAAAAAAATGACAAATGTCCTCAAGACGGATATTGTAGGAACCAAGGGTTAAGTATTGATTTTGTTAAATTGTACACATGTAACAGTAGACTACTGTTGGTCTGAAACTGTGATTTGTCATGTGTTAATAGTTTTTGTCATAGTATCTTTGTGTTTTGATTTCTTTCTTTATCTTAGATATGTCTGGTAAGATGTTTACCTTCCCAGAAGAGTCAGACACAGCTTATGTGAAGCTGACAACATCGAGCCAGAGTTTGAGCGCTTTGACCGTCTGTCTGAGGTAGTGTCATATGTGCAGAAATTTCCCTGAATAAAATTAATGATCATTGATATCCTTATAAAATCAGCAAGTATGACAATATTGTTTTTTGTTTGTTTTTGTCTCCACAGAACCTTTACAGACCTGAATAGAAATCATGCCCCCTTCTCTCTGGCCACACCTGGTGTTTTCAATGACTTCGTGATTTACAGATATGCTGAAAGTAATCAGTTTTCCATAAATGTCAGGGACAAATCAGGTGTATTCAGAGAGCTGGACTACAAGCCGAACACGTGGCACTCACTTTGTTCCACATGGGACTCTGTCTCTGGTGTGGTGCAAGTTTGGTTGGATGGAAAGCCCTCAAGCAGGAAGTACGTCACCTCTGGATCAAACATCACTGGACCTATGATCATTGTTCTGGCACAGGTATACTCTTTTAACAATATGGGAAACAAACTTACATTAATTGGCCCAGAGTGTGTTAGCACAGATTACCGTAAAGACTAGAAATACAAATGACAATGTATTTTGACTAAGCCTTTGTCAGGGTCAGTGATTATTGAGAGTCACAGTTGGATTATCAGTTTTCTCTTCACTTCTGTCCACTCCAATGTCTCTGCAGAAGGCAAAAGTTAGTCGACTTCTATGGCCTGCAGTTTTCACTCTCTGAAAATAATCTCTGATGGGCAGTCAGCGCCATGAACCACAGCAAAAGTCATGCAAAATGCCCAATTAGAAAAAAAACAAAAACACTGACACCTAGAATGAGTCCAGAGATTAAACTGGCTGTATGGATGATACATAGAGAACCAACAAAATCCACTTTTCACTCAAAATGATCCCATCACATACCTATTTGGTTAGATATACTGAAAAATTCCCCAACAGTTACTGATAAAGCAATGATGTAAAGAAACCCCTTTATTTTAACAGTTTGTAAAAATGTTTCTCTCTTATATAAAAGTCAACATTTTACAAAGAAGGATAAAAAAATCAACAAATAAATGAGGTCAGATTTTTTTATATCTCTGACCTTAATCTCATTACTCTCTGAGATTTAAATCAGAGTTCTGACTTTTTTCAATTTCTACAGGAACAGGACAGTCACGGTGGAGGATTTGACGCCACACAGTCATTTGTTGGCATGATGTCTGATGTCCACATGTGGGACTACACCCTCTCACCCTGTGAGATTCAACGCTACACGAATCGCGAGTCCTTCCCCTCAGGCAATGTGATTGACTGGGAGGCATCTCAGACCTTTGGCAGGGTTCTGATCGAAGATCAACAGAAGGACTGTCTCCTCTGAACTTTTTGTTATTCCGGCTTCTCACATGGTATCTCGGCCTGCCTTTGAGTGTTGTTAATTGAAACTTTTACCTGTGAATGTGTGATTTACCTGAGATTAATACCTGCTCCCCTCCTCTCTCTTTCAGTGCCTTCATGAGCCTCTTGAGCCAAGCCCCAACCTGCCATGCTACAATAACTAAAATCACTCACCTCACCTCACCTTGGAGTTTCCACACACCTCGGACCTTCTAACTCAATGACAGGAAAATATTTACTTTGATTCTTGAATGCGTTCAACTTTTAAATCATAATGTTCTCAAATTAGTGCTGAACTCACACCAGCATGTGAAGCTAAATAATCAATGTCTTTCAAAATCAAAATCCTGTTGTCTATAATTTGATGTCAAGAGCTAACAGATTCATTAATCTTTAGCTTTGTTTGATAAAGTGAAATTTTTCATCTGTGTGAGTCTCTTTCTTGGTCTGTTCTCATGATTTTCTGTAACATCAGGTGTTGTTATGCAAGCAAGTAAATTTACTTATTACAGTTTTTAACCAGCAACTTCATTTCAAACAAATACTTGACAGTGTAAAAAACCTCAAGTCAATAAACAACTGTGGTGGCCAGTTTCAAGCTCTTGTATGTCACTGTTTTGTATTTTATGCTTTCTATGGAACTTAACACTTTGTTTTTACTACACCACTGTGATTGTGTGATTGGAGCTAAAACTGTATTAGGAGGTGCAAAAGTTCATGGGTAAAACAAATAAGGATCTTACTGATAAACCACAGCTAGTTAATGAGTTGCCCCTTATCAGATTTTTTAAAGTAAATAAGTTAAAATGGATTAACAAGTTCCTAAAATCAATGAAAGCATCAATACAAGGATGTAGCTTTGGTTATAAAAGTCCCTAATACACTAATACTAAACACAACACTCTGACACAGAGATCAAGGTAAGACATGATAAAAATTGAAGAAAAACAGAAATTTTCTTATGCAAACTGCAGTTAAGGACTGTGTGTGTCACACGGGTTGGTAAAATCTTAAATTGTACTTGATTCATTTGATATTTAAAGGTGCATTTGTTTTTTTATTAGATGGCGTTGCTGCTTCTGTTGGTGATGCTGACCGTATGTGCTGCTCTTCCTCAAGGTAAAAATACATACCTTCATTCTTCAACACAGACAACAGCAAAATAAGGCAGGCGTATACTCTGGAAAAGTGTGCTGTGTCTTGATGTGTCTTATCTTTCTAATTTTTTTAAAGGTATGAGCAAAGTTTTTAATTTAATACGACAAAATATAAATATGCTTACTGTTGATAATAAGAGTAATAAGTACAACAGTTTGGCAAAACATGAGTGACAAAGTTGTGTCAGATGAGACTAATTCGTTTTATTTAATGCTTTTCATCGCCTTGCAGTTAAAGTTTTGGGTTTTTACATTAAAAATGTTGTTATTCTTGATTGTTTATGTGTGCACCAGAATTTATTATGAAAGTTTTGAAGCCATTTTTTATACTTGGATCCTTGTAAAAGTAGTAGAGGGATTACGCTCTGCCTCCTTACTCAACACAGACAAGTGGAGCTGTGTGTATGTGGTTTCCCTCATTCTCATACCACAAGTATTTCTCTTAATTAAGGTAAATACAGCACACAAATCATTGTAAATTTAAGCACACATGTGAATAATAGCCTTCCATGTGCACCTGTGATTTTGTACGACAGAAATATATGTTTGTGCATGTTCATTTGGTGCTCTTAAGTTTTGGCTAATTCAGATAATGTAAACCAGCAAGGAGTCAGACTCTATAGCTGCTCTTCAGCTGTCAAGCACTCCTCAGATGATGACTTACACTGATACATAAATTTACCAGTAAGACAAATGCATTTATTTTGTGCTATAATGATTCATATGACAGAAGTAATGAATAAATGAGGTAGTGATTTGTTGGAATATTAAAAACTGCATGGCTGAATTTATGTATTAAGACTTAGCCCTTGGTTCCTGTTAATTTTAAGCTCCATCCAGCCTACTTTGTCCCCAAAACAGACATGCAGATAAGTGTTCAGAAACAATCATTTTTAATATTTTTTCTTACTTCTTACTTTTTTTACTCATATCTCTTAAAATACTTTAGCCCTGATCATTAAAAGAAATAATGAATAGACAATTCGGTGTATTACCCTTTCATGCCAGTTTTGGTGTGCCATGTTACTGCTATTTTTAATGGTAAAAAACCTTTTTTTTTTTTGATAAATAGAGTCTGGTCCATGTCAATGATAAGAAGTAAAACCGATTTTGGTGCATTTAAATCCTTTTTGTAGTGCAATTTTTTCATATTTGAAGCTGCATCCAGCATACTTTGTCCGCAAAACGAACATGCAGGTAAATGTTCATAAATAATCATTTTTTAAAAATTTGTCTTGCTATTTGGACATAAATCTTTTAAACAACTTCAGCCATAACTATTCAAAAAGTAATGAATAAACAATTCGATGTATTACCCTTTTTGATGCCAGTTTTGTGTGCAATGTCATATTTATTGATATAGTGTGTTTTAAACAGCTAAGTCCATTGGAGCAGAAAAACGTGCCATTTTCACCTTCATTTCTGAAGACTTGTTCTCCACCAAATCAATTGCGATCAGATTCATTAGTTCACATTAAATTAATTATATATTTAGGCATATAAAACCAGAAGATATATGTAAGATAGGAATCAATTACAAGTGGTTATGCACCTCTAACCAAAATATGACCGTAATTACGCTGATTGCGCTCATATAAAAAAATAACCGCATATTTGAGATTTGATATCTTCTCAACTAATGATCCGAAGGACCTGTGCATCCTCATTATCCACTTACTCTGAAGTGAGGGAAAAGTTGAAATTGTCCAAATGTCCCCCTCTCTTTGTCCCACATGGTAGAACTTGGATGTCATATTTTCGACTGTAAAAACTCTGCTCACGGCATGCCCGGTTATAAACATTGACACAGATTCCTTGCACACGTATCCCACTCATAGACATCCATATCTAGTGGCATGTAAAGTTTCATTCAATTCTGATGATGTTTAGTGGATGAAATAGCACTTCAAACACTCTCAGTTCATGAATGAAGACTTGCATGTGTGGCACCGAAGGGGTTACAATTATGTGCCGGCTCAATCTGTTGTATCACTGTCAGAAAGTAAAATTTAGAGCCCTGGTGATCGAGTGACTGCAAAATAAAGGTTATTATGTTTTTATGGTGCCATAAACACACAGTCAAAAAACATGTGTTTAATGGAAGTCTATTGTCCAATTTGAGGACAAAGTAGGGTGGACGCCCCAATCTTTAAAAATGTGACTGTCAGCTCAAAATAAAGATTAAAAAAATGACAAATGTCCTCAAGACGGATATTGTAGGAACCGAGGGTTAAGTATTGATTTTGTTAAATTGTACACATGTAACAGTAGACTGCTGTTGGTCTGAAACCGTGATTTGTCATGTGTTAATAGTTTTTGTCATAGTTTCTTTGTGTTTTGATTTCTTTCTTTATCTTAGATATGTCTGGTAAGATGTTTACCTTCCCAGAAGAGTCAGACACAGATTATGTGAGGCTGACAACATCGAGACAGAGTTTGAGCACTTTGACCGTCTGTCTGAGGTGGTGTCATATATGCAGAAATTTCCCTGAATAAAAATGATGACCATAGATATCCTTATAAAACCAGCAGGACTGACAATATTGTTTTTTGTTTGTTTTTGTCTCCACAGAACCTTTACAGACCTGAATAGAGATCATACCCCCTTCTCTCTGGCCACACCTGGTGTTTTCAATGACTTCGTGATTTACAGATATGCTGAAAGTAATGAGTTTTCCATGAATGTAAGGGACAAGGCAGTTAGATTCAGAGAGCTGGACTACAAGCCGAACACGTGGCACTCACTTTGTTCCACATGGGACTCTGTCTCTGGTGTGCTGCAAGTTTGGTTGGATGGAAAGCCCTCAAGCAGGAAGTACATCAGCTCTGGATCAAACATCACTGGACCTATGATCATTGTTCTGGGACAGGTATACTCTTTTAACAATATGGGAAACAAACTTACATTAATTGACTCAGAGTGTGTTAGCACAGATTACCGTAAAGACTAGAAATACAAGCAACAATGTATTCTGACTAAGCCTTTGTTAGGGTCAGTGATTATTGAGAGTCACAGTTGGATTATCAGTTTTCTCATCACTTGTGTCCACTCCAATGTCTCTCCAGAAGGCAAAAGTTAGTCAACTTCTATGGCCTGCAGTTTTCACTCTCTGAAAATAATCTTTGATGGGCAGTCAGCACCATGAACCACAGCAAAAGTCACGCTAAATGCCCAATTAGAAAAAAAACAAAAGCACTGACGCCTAGAATGAGTCAAAAGATTAGACTGGCTGTATGGATGATACATAGAGAACCAACAAAATCCACTTTTCACTCAAAATGATCCCATCACATACCTATTTGGTTAGATAAACTGAAAAATACCCCAACAGTTACTGATAAAGTAATGATGTAAAGAAACCCCTTTATTTTAAGTTTGTAAAAATGTTTCTCTCTTATATAAAAGTCAACATTTTACAAAGGAGGATAAAAAAAATCAACAAATAAATGAGGTCAGATTTTTCAAAACTCTGACTTCAATCTCATTACTCTCTGAGATTTAAATCAGAGTTCTGACTTTTTTCAATTTCTACAGGAACAGGACAGTTACGGCGGAGGGTTTGATGCTAAACAGTCATTTGTTGGCATGATGTCTGATGTCCACATGTGGGACTACACCCTCTCCCCCTGTCAGATTCAACGCTACACGAATCGCGAGTCCTTCCCCTCAGGCAACGTGCTTGACTGGAAGGCATCGTTTCAGACCTTTGGCAGGGTTCTGATCGAAGATCAACAAGGGGACTGTCTCCTCTGAACTTTTTGTTTTTCCGGCTTCTCCCATGGTATCTCAGCCTGCCTTTGAGTGTTGTTAATTGAAACTTTTACCTGTGAATGTGTGATTTACCTGAGATTAATACCTGCTGCTTCCTATCTTCTCCAGTGCCTTCATGAGCGTCTTGAGCCAACCCTAACTGTGATCACTCACCTGCCTTCACAGCAAGCTCACTCACCACAAGCCCTCACCTCACCTCACCTCACCTTGGAGCTTCCACACACCTCGGACCTGGGACCCCACCCCATCCCCTCCCCTTCACCTTTATTGAAATAAAATCACTCAGCATTACCTCTTGTCTCTGGTCTGTTTTGGGTTCAGCACAAATATCATTACACCTCTGGCCTAAACTCTTGACTTGCTGTAGTATAGAAGTTATAAAAACTAAGGTATTCAACTATTTCAGTCTTACATCAGTGCTACATGTGGAATCCCGGAAATACCGAGAGCAATTCGGCTTCAAATTCGTATAATGGCGGAAGGCGGAGCCAAGTTGTCAATAGTATTTACAGTCTATGATTAAACCCGACATGAAGAAACTCTTTGCAGATGCACCCCTCTTGAAATTTTAGCATTACACACTATGCTAATCGCTATCCCTAGTTCTCTAAAACATTGAAATACGTCAACAAGGCAGACATGTTGGCTCCTATCCAGACGAGCACGTACTGGTCGCGGTTTTTGCTTGCGTTATCAAAACATCTGTTTCGGCTGTGTTGTTTTGATGAGAATAGTGTTTCGGCAAATAACCGAGAATACACTTCTGGGCCATTTTCGGTGGCTGAATTTTCAGTACATCCTAGAATATAGTTGGTAATATAGTTTCTAAATTTATAAATACTCACTCACTGTGAACCCTGGCCCTGTTTAGATGAACACAAGGCTGATATCCTGGCAGGAATGGAAGAAAGGCAAACACTTTTCATATCAGCTCAGGTTACATAGGTCAGATTCACCTCAGTGACACAAACTTCTATGACGCGTCACACCTACCACCAAGTGACACTTCTGAGGAAAGTGGAAGTTTCGGCCGAAACATGTCAAGGTACATGAAAAGAAAACATGTCTGAGATAAAAGAAAAAAGAAAACTACATCTTAGAGAGTGAAAATTTCTCTTTTCTATTGTGTCACATCCAGTATGGAGTAGGCAGACAGACTAAGGAAACACATTGAATATCGTATTATTATATTTAAAGGCAGTTAGGTGGCATGCTTTCCTAGAAAAAAGCAAATTCAACTTCTAACTCAATGACTGGGAAAATATTTACTTTGATTCTTGAATGCTTTCAACTTTTTAAATAATAGTCCCAAATAAGTGCTGGGTCATTGTTACATTTTGGGTCATTTTTATATAACAAAAAAACGTTACTAACATTTCATGTTCCTGCGATTCTTGGAAAATCTCACAAATGGTTTTCTTTTTTCTTTAATCTCAGACATGTGTTCTTGTCACGTAACTTGAAATGTTTTGGCAGAGGCGTCTGCCTTCCTCAGAACCTCTACCAGCTGATATAATGTGTCACACCTACCACCAAGTGACAGTTCCAAGTAAGGCGGATGTTTGAGATAAAATAAACAAGATAAAATAAACTATTCCTAAGAAATTGAAGACATAATGAACACCATTCAACTGAAATTTTGAACTTACCTCTTTTTAAATTTATGAGATTGTAGTTTTTTCAATTCCACCCAAAGCTTCCATAAATTGGTCTGAGATCACCTTTATTCATTTCCTATGGAATCTCATGGGAATTTTAGATTCTTGTCACTCATAGCTATCAGGACCACGATGTTCGTTTAAGTGTAACCTATAATGAACAACTTATAGTCAGCAAGATCTGATTCATTTAAGTATTGTCTGAATTTTGACCTCAGAGAACATTTCATCATATATTTAATCATGATGGTCTAATTGGCCTTTGTAGCTCATATGGAAGAGAGTACATAAAGATAATAGTCTATTTAGTTTCCTTTCAGGGATCAATAAAGTTCTTCTTTTTCTTTTTCTTCTTCCTCTTTTGAGGTGGGCCAAAATAAAAACAAAAATAAAATGAAATACAAATGATAATTCATAGCCAAAATTGCATTGACTCTAATGTTGATCATTTTTGATCCAGTTACGGAAGAGTGCAAGATTCAGGAAGTCATGCATGTAAAGGAAACACAATCCTGTTGGCTGTCATGTCAGCCAATGACAGCATCAAGGATGTAGCTTTGGTTATAAAAGTCACTAATACGCTAATACTAAACACAACACTCTGACACAGAGATCAAGGTAAGATTAAGACATGATAAAAACTGAAGAAAAACTAAATTATTTTGCAAACCCTTAAAGAACAAGCAGTTTGCATGAGTAGGTAAAGTCTTAAATTGTACTTGATTTATTTGATATTTAAAGAGTGCATTTGTTTTTTTATTAGATGGCGTTGCTGCTTCTGTTGGTGATGCTGACCGTATGTGCTGCACTTCCTCGAGGTAAAAACGCATACCTTTATTCTTTAATACAGAGAACAGCAAAATGAAACACGCTGAAAACAATCAACCTCATACAAGCATAGGACAAAATATAAACATGCTTGCTGTTGATGGTAACAGTAATAAGGACAACAGTTTGGCAAAACATGAGTGACAAAGTTTTGTCAGATGAGACTAATTCATTTCATTTAATTCTTTTCATCCCCTCACAGTTAAAGTTTTGGGTTTTTTCGTTAAAAATCTTGTTATTCTTGATTGTTTATGCACTAGAATTTGTTATTAAAGTTATGAGGCTAATTTTGATATTTGGAGTAGTAGAGAGATTACACTCTGCCTCCTTACTCAACACGAACAATTGAACACAGGCTCTGCTTGTATGTGGTTTCCCTCATTCTCACTGCACCAATATTTTCCCTAATTAAGGTAAATACAGCTCACAAATCATTGAAAATAGCCTTCCATGTGCATCTGTGATTTTGTATGACAGAAATATATGTTTGTGCATGTTTATTTGGTGCTATTAAGTTTTGGCTACTTCAGATAATGTAAACAGGCAAGGAGTCAGACTCCATAGCTGCTCTTCAGCTGTCAAGCACTCCTCAGATGACGACTTACACACTGGTACATAATTTACCAGTAAGACAAATGCATTTGTTTTGTGCTTCAGTGATTCATATGACAAAAGTAATGAATAAATGAGGTGGTGATTTGTTAGAATATTGAAAACTGCATGGCTGAATTCATGTATTAAGACTAAATTAATGATTTTGTTAAATTGTACATATGTAGCAGTAGACTACTGTTGGTCTGAAACTGTGTGATTTGTGTTAATAGTTTTTGTCATAGTATCTTTGTGTTTTGATTTCTTTCTGTATCTTAGATATGTCTGGTAAGATGTTTACCTTCCCACAAGAGTCAAAGACGGCATATGTGAGGCTGACAACATCAAGACAGAGTTTGAGGGCTGTGACCGTCTGTCTGAGGTAGTGTCATATATGCAGAAATGTCCTTGAATAAAAATGATGATCATAGATATCCTTATAAAATCAGCAGGACTGACAATATTGTTTTTTGTTTGTTTTTGTCTCCACAGAACCTTTACAGACCTGAATAGAAATCATGCCTCCTTCTCTCTTGCCACACCTGGGGCCTCATGTATCAACACTTGCGTGGAACTCATACCAGAAACGAGCGCACGCAAGGTCCGTCACGCTGAAAAAAATACGTATGTATCAATGTGTGCGGACGCCGAAATCCACCTGTGTTTCCTTGATAAATCCCAATCAGCGTGGAATTGAGCGCAGATGTCGGAGTGACTGGGCCCGTCCCCGTTACGCCCTCCTATAAATATGCAGATTTATTTAAATAGGGTCTCCCTGTCCTCGCACGCAGACAAAATGACAAGAAAAACTAAATTTACGGCGTGCGAGGTGGAGGTGCTGGTGGCGGAGGTGGAGGAGCGACAGCGTGTTTTATTTGGCAGCCTGTCCAGTGGCGTCAGTGCAAAACGAAAATGCTTGGAGTGGGAGAAAGTTTGCGAGAGGGTGAATGCGGTGGGTTCCGAGACACGCACCCCCGCGGAGATTAAAAAAAAGTGGTCGGACCTCAAGGTGGAGGTCAAGCGGCGTACAGCTGCCCTCCGGAGGAGTACTGGCCAGACAGGTGGGGGTCCGGGGGAGGAGACCCTCACACCGTTTGAGCAGCGGGTGGTGGCGATTATTGGGTAAGTGGCGTGTCACACAAATGTCCACACGCTTTGTCATCCCACTGAGCAAAAGACGTATATTAGACGTCTAGTCTAAGTTTATACTTCATTTCAACGTCGGGATTCAGTCTATTTTTAGACGTGATTTATACTTCGCCCTTAACTTCATTTTTCGATAACTTTTTATGCAATAAACAACTGTAATGTGCATAACTGACCTCTAAATACTGGATTACATTACCTATGATACCGTGGAGAGAGATGTAAACGCAACATCCCCATCCCCTCCCCTTCACCTTTATTGAAATAAAATCACTCAGCATTACCTCTTGTCTCTGGTCTGTTTTGGGTTCAGCACAAATATCATTACACCTCTGGCCTAAACTCTTGACTTGCTGTGGTACAGAAGTTATAAAAACTAAGGTATTCAACTTTTTCAGTCTTACATCAGTGTTGCATGTGAAAAAGCATTGCTCTTTAAGATAAAAGGTTGTACTTCAAATTTATTGCACAGCAGTTGGTGTACGATAAAAAGAATACACCTCCTGTATTTCCCATTTTAGTTAATTCTCCATAAAGAAAATATAAAGTGTTGGGCAGTATTATTATATGCATATTAATGATCTCATATATCGAACAAAATATTAAAGCCATGGTAAATTCTTCATAACATTCTCTTCATAACAAACAGTAAATTCTTACTCAAAACGTGTGCTGTTTATTCATGCTCATATGTTGTTGTCAAGCGAAATAAACGAAGACAAAATGTACCGTTGAAGGCTGGGATGGTTTTGGTGAAATGAGAGAGAGAGAGGTCAGCAGCAGGGTTGGGCTTTGAACCCTGCCAGGGCCAGGCCCAGGTGATCCAAATCATCATCATGAACAGCACTCAGGTAACTCTACAGCAAGATGGAGGAGACAGGACAGGTTAAGCATAGAAGAGCTGAAGAATAACTGCAACAGAGAGTCGGTGTTCATCTGACATTATTCTCCAGCAAAAACAGATAAGTGAGCTTCATGTAACACCTGTGGCCAGATGTGAACATCATGTAGAAAGTCATTGGTAAATATTTAGATGCTGTTATAGAAGAGAAACTGTGATAGGAAAGAGGACTGCTAAAAAAGTACCAGCACACCGGAGAGTTAAGTGGTGGTTTGCACTGGAGTGTACCTGCCCAATTAAAGCACTGTTCTGATGAAACATGAATAGGCCTACTGCCTGTTAATGTAGAAGATATGTAGTTTCTAAAAGTTCAAAGGTTGACTTGTACAATCTGGATGGTAGTGTTGCCACCTGTAGAGCAGTGTCTGTGATTGATGTCTCTTAATGCCTGGAAGACAATTGTCACTCAAAATATATAATGTATGCATCATTGGACAAGTTGGTCACCACAAGGTTACTGTAATTATTAGTTTAGAAATTATGATCAGCCATTAGCCTTGCAAAATGGATCAAATGATGATCTGTGTGAAACTGTCAACCATCAGGTATTCAAAACACTTTTTCTCACTCTTTCTCTCAGATCTGTCAGGCGAAATGTTCACCCAGTATAGGTCATAAACCATGCCTCCTCTAGTAAACTTAATGGAGCACAGGCCAAACTTTAAAAATTATTAAAAAGAATATAATTTTTTCTCCCTGGTTGCGATGTTGACATGTAGTTATTGTAAAAAATACATCAGATTTCATATAGCGCTTTATCAGAGACCCTCAAAGCGCAGTAAGGACAAATGCATTTGTTTTGTGCTTCAGTGATTCAAATGACAAAAGTAATGAATAAATGAGGTGGTGATTTGTTAGAATATTGAAAACTGCATGGCTGAATTCATGTATTAAGACTAAATTAATGATTTTGTTAAATTGTACATATGTAGCAGTAGACTACTGTTGGTCTGAAACTGTGTGATTTGTGTTAATAGTTTTTGTCATAGTATCTTTGTGTTTTGATTTCTTTCTGTATCTTAGATATGTCTGGTAAGATGTTTACCTTCCCACAAGAGTCAAAGACGGCATATGTGAGGCTGACAACATCAAGACAGAGTTTGAGGGCTGTGACCGTCTGTCTGAGGTAGTGTCATATATGCAGAAATGTCCTTGAATAAAAATGATGATCATAGATATCCTTATAAAATCAGCAGGACTGACAATATTGTTTGTTTTTGTCTCCACAGAACCTTTACAGACCTGAATAGAAATCATGCCTCCTTCTCTCTTGCCACACCTGGTGTTTTCAATGACTTCTTGATTTTCAGATATGCTGCAAGTAATGCGTTTTCCATGAATGTAAGGGACAAGGCAGTTAGATTCAGAGACCTGGACTACAAGCCGAACACGTGGCACTCACTTTGTTCCACATGGGACTCTGTCTCTGGTGTGCTGCAAGTTTGGTTGGATGGAAAGCCCTCAAGCAGGAAGTACATCAGCTCTGGATCAAACATCACTGGACCTATGATCATTGTTCTGGGACAGGTATACTCTTTTAACAATATGGGAAACAAACTTACATTAATTGACTCAGAGTGTGTAAGCACAGATTACCGTAAAGACTAGAAATACAAGCAACAATGTATTCTGACTAAGCCTTTGTTAGGGTCAGTGACTATTGAGAGTCACAGTTGGATTATCAGTTTTCTCATCACTTGTGTCCACTCCAATCTCTCTGCAGAAGGCAAAAGTTAGCCGACTTCTATGGCCTGCAGTTTTCACTCTCTGAAAATAATCTCTGATGGGCAGTCAGCACCATGAACCACAGCAAAAGTCATGCTAAATGCCCAATTAGAACAAAACCAAAAGCATTGACGCCTAGAATGAGTCCAGAGATTAAACTGGCTGTATGGATGATACACAGAGAACCAACAAAACCCACTTTTCACTCAAAATGATCCCATCACATACCTTTAGGTTAGATAAACTGAAAAATACCCCAACAGTTACTGATAAAGCAATGATGTAAAGAAACCCCTTTATTTTAACAGTTTGTAAAAATGTTTCTCTCTTATATAAAAGTCAACATTTTACAAAGGAGGATAAAAAAATTAAATAATTAAATGAGGTCAGATTTTTTAAAACTCTGACTTCAGTCTCATTACTCTCTGAGATTTAAATCAGAGTTCTGACTTTTTTACTACTAATATGCTCATATTGAAATCTGTATTTAGAGTATAAATTTCATCACAATGTAACAACTGTCTCTTGAACTTTTGTAATTTCTACAGGACCAGGACAGTTACGGCGGAGGGTTTGTCAGTGGAGAGTCATTTGTTGGCATGATGTCTGATGTCCACATGTGGGACTACACCCTCTCCCCCTGTCAGATTCAACGCTACACGAATCGCGTGTCCTTCCCTTCAGGCAATGTGCTTAACTGGAAGGCGTTCTCGTTTCGGACCTTTGGCAGGGTTCTGATCGAAGATCAACAAGGGAACTGTCTCTTCTGAACTTTTTGTTATTCCGGCTTCTCCCATGGTATCTCAGCCTGCCTTTGAGTGTTGTTAATTGAAACTTTTACCTGTGAATGTGTGATTTACCTGAGATTAATACCTGCTCGCCTCCTCTCTTCTCCAGTGCCCTCATGAGCCTCTTGAGCCAACCCTAACTGAGATCACTCACCTGCTTTCACAGCAAGTTCACTCACCACAAGCCCTCACCTCACCTCACCTTGGAGCTTCCACACACCTTGGACCTGGGACCCAACCCACCCCACCCCCACCCCATCCCCTCCCCTTCACCTTTATTGAAATAAAATCACTCAGCATTACCTCTTGTCTCTGGTCTGTTTTGGGTTCAGCACAAATATCATTACACCTCTGGCCTAAACTCTTGACTTGCTGTGGTACAGAAGTTATAAAAACTAAGGTATTCAACTTTTTCAGTCTTACATCAGTGCTGCATGTGAAAAAGCATTGCTCTTTAAGATAAAAGGTTGTACTTCAAATTTATTGCACAGCAGTTGGTGTACGATAAAAAGAATACACCTCCTGTATTTCCCATTTTAGTTAATTCTCCATAAAGAAAATATAAAGTGTTGGGCAGTATTATTATATGCATATTAATGATCTCATATATCGAACAAAATATTAAAGCCATGGTAAATTCTTCATAACATTCTCTTCATAACAAACAGTAAATTCTTACTCAAAACGTGTGCTGTTTATTCATGCTCATATGTTGTTGTCAAGCGAAATAAACGAAGACAAAATGTACCGTTGAAGGCTGGGATGGTTTTGGTGAAATGAGAGAGAGAGAGGTCAGCAGCAGGGTTGGGCTTTGAACCCTGCCAGGGCCAGGCCCAGGTGATCCAAATCATCATCATGAACAGCACTCAGGTAACTCTACAGCAAGATGGAGGAGACAGGACAGGTTAAGCATAGAAGAGCTGAAGAATAACTGCAACAGAGAGTTGGTGTTCATCTGACATTATTCTCCAGCAAAAACAGATAAGTGAGCTTCATGTAACACCTGTGGCCAGATGTGAACATCATGTAGAAAGTCATTGGTAAATATTTAGATGCTGTTATAGAAGAGAAACTGTGATAGGAAAGAGGACTGCTAAAAAAGTACCAGCACACCGGAGAGTTAAGTGGTGGTTTGCACTGGAGTGTACCTGCCCAATTAAAGCACTGTTCTGATGAAACATGAATAGGCCTACTGCCTGTTAATGTAGAAGATATGTAGTTTCTAAAAGTTCAAAGGTTGACTTGTACAATCTGAATGGTAGTGTTGCCACCTGTAGAGCAGTGTCTGTGATTGATGTTTCTTAATGCCTGTAAGACTACTGTCTGTCAAAATATATAATGTATGCATCATTGGACAAGTTGGTCACCACAAGGTTACTGTAATTATTAGTTTAGAAATTATGATCAGCCATTAGCCTTGCAAAATGGATCAAATGATGATCTGTGTGAAACTGTCAACCATCAGGTATTCAAAACACTTTTTCTCACTCTTTCTCTCAGATCTGTCAGGCCAAATGTTCACCCAGTATAGGTCATAAACCATGCCTCCTCTAGTAAACTTAATGGAGCACAGGACAAACTTTAAAAATTATTAAAAAGAATATAATTTTTTCTCCCTGGTTGCGATGTTGACATGTAGTTATTGTAAAAAATACATCAGATTTCATATAGCGCTTTATCAGAGACCCTCAAAGTGCTTTACATTGGATACATTGTTCATTCACTCACACAGTCACACTTTGGTGGTGATAAACTACCTTAGTAGTCACAGCTGCCCTGGGGCAGACTGACGGAAACGTGGCTACCATTTTTCGCCTACGGTCTCTCCGACCACCACCATATAACACTCACAGTCATACACCAGTGGAGGACACACACTGGGAGCAAGGTGGGTTAAGTGTCTTGCCCAAGGACACAGCGGACAGGTTTGGGATAAGGGGGAATTGAACCGCCAATCTTCCAGTTATTGGACGACCGCTCTAGCTCCTGAGCTACTGCCGCCCATTCTAAGACTGGTTTGTGCTCAAGTCCTCTTTTTTCTGTGCAGCTCCATTTTTAAAAGTTATTTGAGGACTAGGGTTTTCTATGTTTGACACTTGATACAGCCCATGGGGGTATGAAGTTTACGAGCAGAGCGTCATCACAGCAACTTTCCCGCTGTATGCGTCCAATGCTACTGCGCAAGTGGTGGTTCCAGGAAGTGGGAAAAATCCCGGAAATACCGAGAGCAGTTAGGCTTCAAATTTGTATAATGGCGGAAGGCGGAGCCAAGTTGTCAATTGTATTTACAGTCTATGATTAAACCCGACATGAAGAAACTCTTTGCAGATGCACCCCTCTTGAAATTTTAGCATTACACACTATGCCAATCGCTATCCCTAGTTCTCTGATACATTGAAATACGTCAACAAGGCAAACATGTTGGCTCTTATCCAGACGAGCGCGTACTGGTTGCGGTTTTTGCTTGCATTATCAAAACATCTGTTTCGGCTGTGTTGTTTTGGTGAGAATAGTGTTTCGGCAAATAACCGAGAATACACTTCTGGGCCATTTTCGGTGGCTGAATTTTCAGTACATCCTAGAATATAGTTGGTAATATAGTTTCTAAATTTATAAATACTCACTCACTGTGAACCCTGGCCCTGTTTAGATGAACACAAGGCTGATATCCTGGCAGGAATGGAAGAAAGGCAAACACTTTTCATATCAGCTCATGTTACATAGGTCAGATTCACCTCAGTGACACAAGCTTATATGACGCGTCACACCTACCACCAAGTGACACTTCTGAGGAAAGTGGAAGTTTCGGCCGAAACATGTCAAGGTACATGAAAAGAAAACATGTCTGAGATAAAAGAAAAAAAGAAAACTATATCTTAAAGAGTGAAAATTTCTCTTTTCTATTGTGTCACATCCAGTATGGAGTAGGCAGACAGACTAAGGAAACACATTGAATATCGTATTATTATATTTAAAGGCAGTTAGGTGGCATGCTTTCCTAGAAAAAAGCAAATTCAACTTCTAACTCAATGACTGGGAAAATATTTACTTTGATTCTTGAATGCTTTCAACTTTTAAATAATAGTCCCAAATAAGTGCTGGGTCATTGTTACACTTTGGGTCATTTTTATATAACAAAAAAACGTTACTAACATTTCATGTTCCTGCAATTCTTGGAAAATCTCACAAATGGTTTTCTTTTTTCTTTTATCTCAGACATGTGTTCTTGTCACGTAACTTGAAATGTTTTGGCAGAGGCGTCTGCCTTCCTCAGAACCTCTACCAGCTGATATGATGCATCACACCTACCACCAAGTGACAGTTCCAAGGAAGGTGGATGTTTGGGATAAAATAAACAAGATAAAATAAACTATTCCTAAGAAATTGAAGACATAATGAAAACAATTCAACTGAAATTTTGAACTTACCTCTTTTTAAATTTATGAGATTGTAGTTTTTTCAATTCCACCCAAAGCTTCCATAAATTGGTCTGAGATCACCTTTATTCATTTCCTATGGAATCTCATGGGAATCTTTGATTCTTGTCACCTATAGCTATCAGGACCACGATGTTCGTTTAAGTGTAACCTATAATGAACAACTTATAGTCAGCAAGATCTGATTCATTTAAGTATTGTCTGAATTTTTGACCTCAGAAAATATTATTTAATTATATATTTAATCATGATGGTCTAATTGGCCTTTGTAGCTCATATGGACGAGAATACATAAAGATAGTAGTCTATTTAGTTTCCTTTCAGGGATCAATAAAGTTCTTCTTCTTTTTCTTTTTCTTCTTCTTCTTTTGAGGTGGGCCAAAATAAAAATAAAATGAAATACAAATGATAATTCATAGCCAAAATTGCATTGACTCTAATGTTGATCATTTTTGATCCAGTTACGGAAGAGTGCAGGATTTAGGAAGTCATGCATGTAAAGGAAACACAATCCTGTTGGCTGTCATGTCAGCCATGACAGCATCAAGGATGTAGCTTTGGTTATAAAAGTCACTAATACGCTAATACGTAACACAACACTCTGACACAGAGATCAAGGTAAGATTAAGACATGATAAAAACTGAAGAAAAACTAAATTATTATTCTGCTAAACCTTAAAGAACAAGCAGTTTGCATGAGTTGGTAAAGTCTTAGATTGTACTTGATTTATTTGATATTTAAAGAGTGCATTTCTTTTTGTATTAGATGGCGTTGCTGCTTCTGTTGGCGATGCTGACCGTATGCTCTGCTGTTACTCGAGGTAAAAATACATACCTTCATTCTTTAATACAGAGAACAGCAAAATGAAACACGCTGAAAACAATCAACCTCATACAAGCATAGGACAAAATATAAACATGCTTACTGTTGATGATAACAGTAATAAGGACAACAGTTTGGCAAAACTTGAGTGACAAAGTTGTGTCAAATGAGACTTATTCATTTCATTTCATGTTTTTCATCACCTCGCAGTTGAAGTTTTGGGTTTTTCCGTTAAAAATGTTGTTATACTTGATTGTTTATGCACTAGAATTTGTTATGAAAGTTATGAAGCTAATTTTTATTTTTGGATTTGTAAGAGAAGAAGAGGGATTACACTCTGCCCCCTTACTCAACACAAACAATTGAACACAGGATCTGCTTGTATGAGGTTTCCCTCATTCTCACTGCACCAATATTTTCCCTTATTAAGGTAGATACAGCCCACAAATCATTGTAAATGGCCTTCCATGTGCATCTGTGATTTTGTACGACAAAAATATATGTTTGTGCATGTTTATTTGACGCAATTAAGTTTTGGTAATTCAGATAATGTAAACAGGCAAGGAGTCAGACTCTATAGCTGCTCTTCAGCTGTCAAGCACTCCTAAGATGACGACTTACACACTGGTACAGTCGTTTGTTTTGTGCTTCAATGATTCATATGACATAAGTAATGAATAAATGAGGTGGTGATTTGTTGGAATATTGAAAACTGCATGGCTGAATTCATGTATTAAGTATTGATTTTGTTAAATTGTACATATGTAACAGTAGACTACTGTTGGTCTGAAACTGTGTGATTTGTGTTAATAGTTTTTGTCATAGTATCTTTGTGTTTTGATTTCTTTCTTTATCCTAGATATGTCTGGTAAGATGTTTACCTTCCCACAAGAGTCAAACACGGCGTATGTGCGGCTGACACCATCAAGACAGAATTTGAGGGCTGTGACCGTCTGTCTGAGGTAGTGTCATATGTGCAGAAATGTCCCTGAATAAAAATGATGATCATAGATATCCTTATAAAATCAGCAGGACTGATAATATTGTTTTTTGTTTGTTTTATCTCCACAGAACCTTTACAGACCTGAATAGAGATCATGCCCCCTTCTCTCTTGCCACACCTGGTGTTTTCAATCACTTCTTGATTTTCAGATATGCTGCAAGTAATGAGTTTGCCATGTATGTCAGGAACAAGGAAGTTCAATTCAGAGAACTGGACTACAAGCCGAACACGTGGCACTCATTTTGTTCCACATGGGACTCTGTCTCTGGTGTGGTGCAAGTTTGGTTGGATGGAAAGCCTTCAAGCAGGAAGTACATCTCTGGATCCATGATCACTGGGCCTATGAACATTGTTTTGGGACAGATACACTCTTTTAACAATATGGGAAACAAACTTACATTAATTAGCCCAGAGTGTGTTAGCACAGATTACCGTAAAGACTAGAAATACAAACAACAATGTATTCTGGCTAAGCCTTTGTCAGGGTCAGTGACTATCGAGAGTCACAGTTGGATTATCAGTTTTCTCATCACTTGTGTCCACTCCAATCTCTCTGCAGAAGGCAAAAGTTAGTCGACTTCTATGGCCTGCAATTTTCACTCTCTGAAAATAATCTCTGATGGGCAGTCAGCACCATGAACCACAGCAAAAGTCATGCTAAATGCCCAATTAGAACAAAACCAAAAGCATTGACGCCTAGAATGAGTCCAGAGATTAAACTGGCTGTATGGATGATACACAGAGAACCAACAAAACCCACTTTTCACTCAAAATGATCCCATCACATACCTTTAGGTTAGATAAACTGAAAAATACCCCAACAGTTACTGATAAAGCAATGATGTAAAGAAACCCCTTTATTTTAACAGTTTGTAAAAATGTTTCTCTCTTATATAAAAGTCAACATTTTACAAAGGAGGATAAAAAAATTAAATAATTAAATGAGGTCAGATTTTTTAAAACTCTGACTTCAGTCTCATTACTCTCTGAGATTTAAATCAGAGTTCTGACTTTTTTACTACTAATATGCTCATATTGAAATCTGTATTTAGAGTATAAATTTCATCACAATGTAACAACTGTCTCTTGAACTTTTGTAATTTCTACAGGACCAGGACAGACACGGCGGAGGGTTTGTCACCAAACAGTCATTTGTTGGCATGATGTCTGATGTCCACATGTGGGACTACACCCTCTCCCCCTGTCAGATTCAACGCTACACGAATCGCGTGTCCTTCCCTTCAGGCAATGTGCTTAACTGGAAGGCGTTCTCGTTTCGGACCTTTGGCAGGGTTCTGATCGAAGATCAACAAGGGAACTGTCTCTTCTGAACTTTTTGTTATTCCGGCTTCTCCCATGGTATCTCAGCCTGCCTTTGAGTGTTGTTAATTGAAACTTTTACTTGTGAATGTGTGATTTACCTGAGATTAATACCTGCTCGCCTCCTCTCTTCTCCAGTGCCTTCATGAGCCTCTTGAGCCAACCCTAACTTAGATCACTCACCTGCTTTCACAGCAAGCTCACTCACCACAAGCCCTCACCTCACCTCACCTCACCTTGGAGCTTCCACACACCTTGGACCTGGGACCCAACCCACCCCACCCCCACCCCATCCCCTCCCCTTCACCTTTATTGAAATAAAATCACTCAGCATTACCTCTTGTCGCTGGTCTGTTTTGGGTTCAGCACAAATATCATTACACCTCTGGCCTAAACTCTTGACTTGCTGTGGTACAGAAGTTATAAAAACTAAGGTATTCAACTTTTTCAGTCTTACATCAGTGCTACATGTGAAAAAGCATTGCTCTTTAAGATAAAAGGTTGTACTTCAAATTTATTGCACAGCAGTTGGTGTACGATAAAAAGAATACACCTCCTGTATTTCCTATTTTAGTTATTCCTCCATAAAGAAAATGTTAAGTGTTGGACAGTGTTATTATACGCATATTAATGATCTCATATATCGAACAAAATATTAAAATATTAAAGCCATGGTAAATTCTTCATAACATTCTCTTCATAACAAACAGTAAATCCTTATTCACAACGTGCGCTGTTTTTTCATGCTCATATGAGCCTTTCCAGCTGGACACACATAATCTAATTATGGGCTCCATGGTAGCCTTAAGGTGTGTGAAATTAAACATGAGTGCAAAAGATGACTATAAACTAGCATGTTTAACAGCTTTTCTGTAGGTTTTTGCCTTTTAATTCCTTCCCCGGGCAATAATGGAATATTTTTACAGTATTCATACAAAGCCACACACACACAAACACGCAGAGAGCCTGCGCTGCAGCATCGGCTTATATCAACAGCAGTTCTTTGGTAATAGCAGAATAATACACTGTAAGAGGGTGGAAGAAATTGCAGATTGTGTGTGCGGATAATGATGTTAGATGCTAGATAACAGGATGTCTCCGACTAAATGTTGTGCTTGAGGCAGGAAAGCTGCTGCAGATTTCTCTTGTAGCGTCAGACTCTTTGGGACAGCTGCTCCATCGTTGTCCCTGCCCTCCTCTGCAGCTCCATTATCAGATTAATTTGTTCGTTGAACATACAGGTTTTTCTTGTTTTTCCACACCAGCCTCACTGTACCTGCACAACGATTGTCCCAGATGAGTTGCATGCACACTCAGCTGATACTCAGCTGCTGTCATAACACTATAGCACTTCCACACATGTGCTGAACCCCCTTAGAATTTCTTAATTATATAGGGTTAGGTTGAATTCGTGAAAGGAAATGGCAATCTCTCTGTCTGTCTCTCTGTGTAAGAGGTGTGAAATTGGATGTTTAACACATAAGGGTTGTGGTTTGCATTTCAGTCAGGAACACTTTGTCAAAAATTTTGGCTTTATTGTGCAAGTTTAAATTTGGCGGCATGATTCTGTTTCGGGTCCCTGCCCTTCCACACGCTTGTGTGGAAGCCCGAGGCAGGAAGAGCCCCTTCCTGCCCATCACGAGCCATCATGAAAGGCGATAGCAGGGAGCGCATGCGAGGTTCTGTTCAGGGCCCCCGTTCTCCACGTTGGCATGGGTGAAAGGCCAGCGGCAGGAAGTGCCCCTTCCTGCCCTCCACGAGCCATCATGAAGGCGGAGGCGGCGGGGGCAGAGCAGCAATGAACAGAACCCCCCCGGAACAGGAGCGCTTCGAGGGTAGCAGAGCATTAGCTGGCACAAGGGTGGAGCTGGGGTGGCGGTGGGTTGCTGGTTAGCTGTCAGAGCAGAGGAAGAGGCTGGGTTAGTGCACTTTTAAATAAGGCGCTCTATAGGCAAAGGACCAATAGGAGCTAGGAGTGAATCAGCTGGTTATCATCTGGTTGAGGTGGCTACTAGCCATTGGCTGCAGATCAGCGCTTGACGTCGTGTCCTGACAGAACTAACGCTATGCTTCATTTCAGTCAGGAACACTTTGTCAAAAATTTTGGCTTTATTGTGCAAGTTTAAATTTGGCGGCATGATTCTGTTTCGGGTCCCTGCCCTTCCACACGCTTGTGTGGAAGCCCGAGGCAGGAAGAGCCCCTTCCTGCCCATCACGAGCCATCATGAAAGGCGATAGCAGGGAGCGCACGCGAGGTTCTGTTCAGGGCCCCCGTTCTCCACGTTGGCATGGGTGAAAGGCCAGCGGCAGGAAGTGCCCCTTCCTGCCCTCCACGAGCCATCATGAAGGCAGAGGCGGCGGGGGCAGAGCAGCAATGAACAGAACCCCCCCAAAACAACCATGCCGTGCAGTCTAGGAGTTAGCGATAGGAGGTGAGAGCTGTCGAAAAGAGACGGGTTAGAGACTAGTTGCCCAAGCATGGATATTTATTTACATAATTCATTTAATCACGTCTATGTGCCAAATTATGGTTACTCATGGTTTTCTGTGCTTCTAGAATGTCCCGAACCTCGGGGCGCAGATAGCGTTCGTACGCGGCAGAAGACCATCGGCCCATGGCTTTGAGGGTGGACACTGGAGCCGTCATAGCAGCGGTAGTAGCTGTGCCTATGCGAAAAGAATGAGCTGTGTAGCGATCTGGAGGAAGTCCGCAGGATTGGCATCAAGTTAGATTTGGCGGCATGATTCTGTTCCGGGTCCCTGCCCTTCCACGCGCTTGCGTGGAAGCCCGAGGCAGGAAGCGCCCCTTCCTGCCCTTCACGAGCCATCATGAAAGGCGATAGCAGGGAGCGCACGCGAGGTTCTGTTCAGGGCCCCCGTTCTCCACGTTGGCATGGGTGAAAGGCCAACGGCAGGAAGTGCACCTTCCCGCCCTCCACGAGCCATCATGAAGGAGGAGGCGGCGGGGGTAGAGCGGCAATGAACAGAACCCCCCCAAAACAACCATGCCGTGCAGTCTAGGAGCTAGCAGGGGAAGTGAGAGTTGCCGAAAGAGAGACGGGTTAGAGAGACCCGTTGCCCAAGCATGGGTATTTATTTATATATTTCATTTAATTAGCATCTATGTGCCAAGTTATGGGACAGAAAAATTCTAATAATAATAATAATATATTGGCCATGGGCCATTCAAATGCTGATCAGGACCATCGACCCGTAGCCTTGAGCGTCGAGACGGGGACAATGGAAGATGCAGTTGTAGCTGCGCCTATACGTGGTGAATGCGTAGAGTTGTACTCAGGTAGGACCCAGCAGGATTGGCAGAGCAGGCAGAGGTGAGCAGAAAGCTGCAATCTGGATATAGGTTTCCCTTCTTCAGTGGCAAAGAGAGACTCTTGCTGGCTGGCCAGTGGCCGGCCTCTCGGGCAGCGGGACATGGAGGATAAAGAACAAAGACAGAGTTAGTTTGGAAATATAAATTTTTAAAAAAGTGTGAGATTCAAAACCGTGGACTATTAAAGCACATACAATGGATATATTTAGGGTGTTGGGGCTACAGAGAAGGTGGTACAAAAGAGGTAAAGTGAGACTATGCAGAACCGTATAAACTTAAATGCTGATTTTGCTTGACCAGCTCTCAAATAGCTGGCAACTGAGAGCACTAAGGTTTGCAAGGCTGCACTCAGACTTACGCAGTCTGAATGAATGACTTCACTAACAGCGGTTGGGATGCTTGCCATTGCCTTCCCCATTTCAAGGACATTTGACAGAGTAGACAGCTTGTTCTTTCCCGTTTTACCAGGTGGGTGCGTCTCGGGCATGCTGATTTCAGATGCCCGTCCCTAAAGTAACTTGGCTTCTCCGAGTCGTAGGCTTAGAGAGGCTCGGGTGGTTGGCCTGTAGCCGCAGTTTTAGGTCACCGATTAGAGGTGTGGGCAGGGGTGGACAAGGTAGGATAAGGTTCCTCCAGGTACTGTACCCGTAGACTTTGTACAAGAGGAGCACACCCAAGTTAAGCTAGTTGCTGACTCCGATGCCACAGTATCATCATCTGCTGTATCTCTCTCTTGAACATAAAGCAATTATTATTATTAATTAATTATTATTATTAATTATTATTATTAATTATTATTATTATTAATAATAATAATAATAATAATTTATTTATTTATCTGCATTTTGTCTTATTTCTACATTAAGATTGAAGCAGCTGACTCTTTAAGTTCCCTCCTTCCGCAAAAGGCGGAAGGCGGGCCCCTGCACCTAGGCAACCAGCGTCCAATCAAAAGTGCGCACTGGTGCTCCCACTACTGGAGTTTATTTGTAAGCAAATACCACTCACTCTCAAGCGGCAAGGTCCTATTGGATTACTTCGGTTATAACGCAGAGTGCAGACTGATGTGTGGCAACACACTTAGCCTAGATACATGGAAGGGGTGAAAACTTTAAACTGCTGATTATGTCTTCCCGAAATGGCATACTGCTGCATAATGGTTTACTTTCACCTCCAGGTGAGAGAAAGGCCCGCAGATTGAGCAGGAAAGCTTGGTGCGCGGTGAAATGTCTACTGATTAGAGCCAGGTCAACTACGGACTGATCAAGTCTTTGGTTGAATCTTTTAATGTACTTAGCAGCTTTGCTGACAATGATTTTTAATGTTCCTAGGATAATGATCCTCCCTGTGTCATGGCTGAATCAGAAATCATGGCGAGATATGTGTCCAGTTCAGTTCTGCGTGCTGAAAACTCTTCACATATGACATCTCCAAATACGAAATTTAAAGCTATGAATTCAGCCAAGGTCGGAGATTTAAACAGCCGGGCATCACGATATTTAACCATCACAGACTCATCTCCGCAATCAACAATGCGTCTATCATTGTAGTCTGAGCACAGCAAGACTAATGTCAGTACCTGCAAGGATTTGGCTCCGCGGATAAGGCGTAATTGCAGCCGCGAAGGGAATTATTGGACGCCGGTGGAGACTGGGACTGCACTTCCCAGGGTCCTTCGCAGGATGGGGGACACCGTCGTCGGTTGTCGCTGGAGTGACGTCATCGTTCAGCGCGGTGAATGCAGGTAACAGCTGGGATGAAGGGAGACAGCTTAGCACGTGCCGAACCAGATTCTGAGGCTTCGATCCTTGAAGACATGTGGGAGAACGATGGCTGGATGCTGGGTAGTACTCTCAGGATGGGATTGTCGTCCAGGTCCGCGGGTCTAATAGCTGGGGTTGGGATTCGCGCTCTGCGGGCGGCGGCGATGACGCGGCGGCTGAAGCTGGACTGCCGTGACGCTGCGGGAACAGCGTTTTCTTTCCTCGGT